GTGTGTGTGTGTAACCTCTATTTCTATAACAGCTGTACCAATTTACATTCCCACTAACAGTGTTCCATTGCTTCACATCCCCACTAACACTTACCTTTTACTTAGTCTATTGTGCTGCTAATAAAAGACATATCTGAGTCTGAGTAATTTTTAAAAAAAGAAAAAGAGAGAGATTTATTTAGCTCATATTTTTGGAGGTCCAAAATCAAGGGGTTGCATCTAGCGAGAGTCTTCTTGTTGGTAGAGTCCCAAGGTGGCATATAGCATTACATGGTTAGGGTATGAACAGAGCAAGTACACATATCTGTCTGTCTGTGTCTCCTTCTAAACACTGAAATATTTAATCATGGAACCTCACTCTCAGGCCTAATCACTTTCTAAAATCCCCATCTCTCAATTCCATAGGTGAATTAAGTTTCCACTCTTCTAATCCCTTCACAATAGCAACCAATTTCCGACACATGTATCTTGGGGGAACATGTTCAAAGTATGATGTCTTTTATCTTTTTGGTAATAGCCATTGTAACTAGTATCAAGTTATAAAGTGATATCTAATTTTTTAAAGAGATTTTTGCCTTAGTGTGTGTGCACTCACCAGATAAAGAGAGACAGAGACGGTGAGAGCAAAAGTGAAAAAACATCCCCTGGGGTGGGGGATGGCCATGCCATAATCTCTTCTCCTCTGTTTTCCTCACGGGATCTTGGGCACACACGTACATGCACCTGGCATGATTTTCAAGCCACTGACTGTAGTCAGGGACTCTAACTACAGTCAGCCATGTGGGAGTCCAGCAATGTAACTGCTACATCATCTGCTGGCTGCCTCCCCCCCTTTTTTTCTTTTAATTTGCCAGAGGATGCATGCACAAGTGAGAGCAAGAGAGAAAGCAAGAACCCTCTCCAGGCATATCATGCTGCAATCTCTTCTCTTTCTCCTTCCTTTCAGAATTTTGGGCACCCATGCACATGAACCTGATGTTTTTCAAAACTTCAGGTCTGGAACTGGAGCCACTTTGTCAGCAGTGTGGGATCTAGCTGCCTTAACCATGAGGCCATGTGTTGACCCTTCACTGTAGTTTTGTTTCTTTGATAATTATTGATGTTGAACATTTTTTTCACTGTAATCTGTTAGCCATTTTTGTCTTCTCTTGAGAAATATCTATTGAGGTTATTTGTCCAGTTTTATAATCGGGTTATTTCCTTGTTATTGAGTTCTTCATATATTGTAGATATTAATCCTTATTAACCCCATTAGATATATGGTTTGTAAATATTTTCTCTTTACTCTTCTTGCTGTGCAAGTTTTTTATTTTGATGCCATTATTTCTGTGTTTGCTTTTGTTGTCTGTGCTTTTGGACATTCAAAAAAATCATTGCTCAGACTCATGTCATGGCCCTTTCCTCATCTTCTTAGTAGTTTTAGTTTGAAGTCTTATATTGGGTCATTGGGAAAGTCAGGACACATTTTTGCATGGAAAAACATGTCATGGAACCAGGAGATGGCATAGCAGTTATGTTACTAGACTCCCACATGGCCAAGTTCAGTTCCAGTCCCAGACCTGGTGGCTTGAAACTCACACCGAGCATGTGTGCATCTGTGCCCAAGATACCAGGAGAAGAATGGAGGAAAAGGGATTGCAGTGTGGCCATACCCCCTAGGAGATTCCTTGCTGTTCATCTGGTGAGTGCACATGCTCTATAGCAAAAAAAATCTCTCTTAAAAAAGAAAGAAGAATATGTCACAACTTTCCTGATGACCTAATATTTAAGTCTTTTTTTCTGAATTGTTATTAGTATGTGGTATGATAAGGGTCTACTTTCATTCTTCTACATGTGGATATCTAAATTCCAAGCACTACTTTATTGAACTGCCTTTTCCTCATTGTATGTTTTTGATGCCCCTATTGAAAATCAACTGCCCATAAAAGCCTGGGTTTATTTGTGGATGTGCCATTGTGTCTCATTGGTCAACATATCTGATTTTATGCCAGTACTCTGCTGTTTGGATTACTACAGCTTTGTAGTATGTTTTAATATCAGTTAGTATGATGCCTTCAGCTTTAGTCTTTTTGCTCCAGGTTGCTTTGGCTATTAGGAGTCTTCTGTGGTTTAGCATGAATTTTACAACTTATTCTGTTTATGTGAAAAAAATGTCATTTGAATTTTAATAGGATTTTATTGAATCTGTAGACCATTTTGGGTACAATAGACCTTCTTCCTACATAAGTTCTTCTAATTCATGAACATGGGATATCTTTCCATTCTGTTTTCTTCAATTTAGGGTTTTATAATTCTCTGTATACAGAACTTTATATCTTTGGTTGAACTTACAGCTAATAATTTAATTTTTTTGTTGCTATTGTTCAATGGTTTCTCTTAAATGGTAGACAGCCTGTGAGGCTGAGAGTTCAATTTTCAATCAACCAAATGTATGATGAGGACTTGTGTTTTATTTTTGCAATTCCAGACCTGTGAATACAAGAGATAAGACAGTCCCTCAGGGTATGCATAGCCCCTCTTAAGCCATTTATGCACAGTGTGAGCTAAGAATTAAAATCTCTGAGCTCATCCTTTGTTTTCCTCACTTTGTCCAGAGATAATAGGAACAACCAATGTCATATTCTTTTGTTTTCCATAAATATTTTAAAGTCTCCTATACAGAGTCATTAAGTTGCTTGCTCTTACAAGTGGTTAATGAGGAATATCCAATGCAGATATTTTATGTAACACTATAAACAGTTCATGCTGTGTACCGTCAGTTTTCTCCATACTATTGAAAATAAAGTCCTTAGGATTTTTAAGTCTAATCATATTAGAAAATCCTAGAGGGACCAGCAGATGGTGTAATGGTTATGTCACTGGACTCCCATGTAGTTGACTATGGAGGCTTAAAACTCACACTGGGCACATGTGCATGCGTGCCCAGCATGGAGGAGAAGGGATTGAGTGACCATTACCCCTAGGGAGAGGAGTAACTTCTCATTTTCTGTCTGTCTCTCCAGCTAGCTACTACACGTGATCTGTAGCAAAAATCTAAAAGAAAAATCTAGAAACCTTCTAACCAGTACAGGAAACTTGTCCTAAAATTCTAGTTCTTCTAGAATGACTCCTTGTACAAAAATCTATCAATGTTCTCTGGAGGAACAGAACTATTAGGAACTGACTAGGAGGGGATTATGGAAAAGTGGTTCACATGATTTTGGTGGCTAAGAAGTCCCATGATGTGCCCAGGATATGCAAAATGGAGAACTAGGGAAGACAGTGGTATAGCTTGGTCCAAGATCAAAGGCCTGAGAACTTGGGGGCTGCAAGTGCAATTTCTGGAATCTGATGGCAAGAGAACCTAGAGTTCTGATGTCTAAGACCAGAAGATAGGTATTCTACATTCAGAAGAGAGATTAACCTTCCCTTTGCCTTTTTGTTCCATCCAAGCTCTCAAACATCTGGATGATACCCACTCAATGAGTGAGGGCATATCTTCCTTAGTCCACTGACTAAACTACCAGTCTCTCCCAGAAATAATACCTTACCAACTATCTGGGCATCCCTTAACCTAATCAAACCTATACCTAAAATTAACCAACACAACAGGAGGTTACTAAACATTTTTTAAGTTTATATCTTAAAACCTCTGTGTATTCAAAACAGCCTAAATATTTTGTCTTCTGTGTTCTCATCCTATCCTCTAGGGAATGGGGTTCCTGAGGTTTTTATTAATAGTTGCAGCAAACAGTTCTGATGGTTCTAACGTATCTTCAAGGTGTGAAGAGAATGTAAGATGTGCCATGCCCTAAGCTTATTCCAATATAAAATTGTCATTAAAATTGTATGTACCTTTTTGGTAAGTAATCGATGTTTGAACATTTCTGTGTTTCAAAACCAACCATGTTTGTGCTTAGTATGAATGGTCCATGGACGGTCAGTGGAAAGCACAGAGGGAGGGATGGGTGCAGCCATATATAGTCACGCATCAGTTAAGCAATAGGGACACATTCTGAGAAATGCATCATTATGTAATTTTATAACTGTGCCAATATCATAGAGTATACTTACATAAACCTAGATGGTATAGCTTAGTACACACCTAGGCTATAGGGTATAATCTTATGGGACTACTGTCGCATATGTGGTCTTTAGATGAATAAAATGCCATTATGTGGTGCATGAATATTAACTGACAGGTATGCAGATAAAAATACACAAAAGCACATGCAAAAATTAACCAAAATAAATTATTTATGTAAAAATAAAAAACCAAACATTTTATGCTTTTACCAGTCTCTTGTACATCAAAAATGTTGGACATTAATACAATAATTGCATTCCTTATACTTAACAACTTCTATATCTCATATTAGCTATCTATAATTTCACCAAGATCTAGTTCACTTGTCCTTTATAAAGTATTTTGCTTTGTATTTATTATCCTGGAATTGTACTTATTGGAATGGTTACTGAGCACTTTGAATGTAGCTAGTTCAAACTGAGATGTGTTAGAAATGTAAAATATAATTTGAGGACTTAGAATAAAAAAAAGCAAAACTCAGTTTTTATACTGAGAATAATTTAGGTGTACTGGATTATATAAATATATTATCAAAATTCATTTCATTTGTTTCTTTTTGTCTTTTTAAATGTGGCTACTAGGAAATTAAAAAGTATATATGTGGATCACATTATCCTTCCATTAGATAGTGCTGGGCTAGAACATATGAAAACAAAGTGGCTATAACTTTGACTATTGTATCTTACATATTCGCTCTCTGCTTTTAGAAATGGGAACCACAGGCGCCAGCAAGTGGTGCAGTGGTTAAGGTGCTAGATTCCCACATGGCCTAACCCAGCTCAAGTCCTGGACCTGGCAGCTTGAATATCATGCCAGGTGTATGTGCGTGCCCAAAATTCCAAGAGGAAAACAGAAGAGAAGGGATTGCAGTGTGGCTGTCTCCCCTTGAGGTGAGTGTGTGTGTGTGTGTGAGAGAGAGATTTCTCACTTTCTCTCCCTCTCCTCTTTCTCTAGAGAGTGCACATGCTCTATGGCAAAAACCTAAAACAAAAACAAAATAAAAGAGAAAAACCACAGGAACTGAAAAATAATCTGGCTGTTTTTATGCATATTTGCAATTTTTTTCCCTAATGGACATAATATTACTTCTTAAGCAGTAAAAAGAAAAAAAATACTCGATAAATTTAGCATTACCAAAAACAGGACCAGCATTTAAGAGATGGAGCTTGTTTTAAAGATTAAACAATAGATACATTAAATTATCCTAATATTTGTGAAATATATTTTTATTTTATATCAAATACAAAAACACCTGCTCAGGAGGAGTGGAAAACACAACAGAGTTCACCGTCTACTAGGACAGAAGTTATAATTTTACTCAGTTGACAATTAAGGTGATTAGCCATGCCACCGTGCTCACATCCCTCTACCTATTTCTGTAGAAAAAGGAGCTATTCTTCTGTCACAAGGAAAATGAAGACTATACACTTGGCCAATCATTGGAAAACTATGTACAATTTTCTTTTCTTTCTATTTCTAACATTTAAGTGAGACCTTTTACCATAAACCTTATTAGTTATTATCATCTGACACATAGAAACCCGTCCATAAATCATTTAAAATATGACTGCTAGTGAATTTTCAGCAAAATACACCATAATTTTTTTTTTTTCCTTATTGGTTTATGACGATTTATTTTGTAAGGTGACTTTGGTGGCATTTGCTTTCTGGCATTTGTGTACTGGAACACCTATCTTCACAAATTGTCCTTCTGACAGTGGCACAGTCCCATCCATCTTCAGGCTTCTCCGTGAGGTCATATGTAATTCAAGTGTCTAGTAAAACTCTGGCGCATTCATTTCATCTGTAAATGCAACTGGTACAACCACTCCCTGTCGGTGTAGCTCTCGGAGAACATCTAATATTGAGTCTAATTCTGTGCGGAATTTGTCTAGTTCACGATTCTTTAACTGTGCGAGTCTTTTCCACTTTTCAATTTCCTTGTTTTGTTCAGTTTCTACTACTTGGTGTGTTTGCTTTATTATCTGCAAATACAAAAACTCTACATTAGTATTACAGTTTATGGGGAGGCAGTGAAGAAAATTTAACAGTCTCAAAGACCTACAGTGGAATAATGCTGAGTAGGTAAACCTAGGGTTTTGTTGGGGAGCTCAGGTCATCCATAAAGCTTTGCATTTATGTCATATTTTGTCTTCAAAGATTATATAAATCTCACTGCTATGGATGGGATGTTTCTATCACCCACAATTTATGTTGAGGCCCTAATCCTCGGTAAGGCAGTACTGGAATAAGAGAATAATTAAGGTTAAATGAAGTTATAAAATTGGGTCCCGATCAGGTAAGATGGGAAGAGAATATTAACTCATCTGTCCTCTCTTCCTCTCACATGCACTGAGGAAAGGCAGCGTGAAGACAGAGAAAAAGTGGTTATATGCTAGTCTGGAAGAGGGCATTAACCAGAAAGGCCTTTATCAGAACCTTGATCTTGAACATCTGGTCTCTAAAACTGTGGATGTCTGAAACAATAGAAATTTATTTTCTCAATCTATGACAGTCCATCACAGCAGCCCAAGCAAAGCTAAACATCAGCGCCCAGGCAAGTGCCTAGAAACATCTGCATCCTTACTTACACCTGCCGTTTTCAGCCTGTGTTGATTTATCTGTTATTAGTATAGTAATCATGTTACTAGTGCTAGGTAAATAATATGTTAATGGCCATATTTTAATATAAATTTACTTCTCATAAATATTTATTGAAATGACTTGAATGTGGAACATTTTCCCCAAAGCCCTGTTCTCAGAGTAAATTGTAGTAAAACTTTTGAGGAACCCACAAATAATTAAGAACATGGTGCAAGTTTTTTCTCTTTAAGCATTTGATATTTAGTCTTATTTTCTCTTATAAGCCATACATTCATTTTTAACAAGATGAAAATACAATGAAAACACATTAGAGTATACCTTTTGGTAGGTACGACAAAATTAGAGCAAATTAGAGGCACTTAAAAATAAGGAACGATACAGGGCTGGTTCTGGCCAGTGGTTAAGCCAGATCCCATATGGCCCATGAGGTTCAAATCCTAATCCTGGTGCCTTGAAACACACACCAGGTGTATGTATATGCATACCCAAAATATTGATGGGAAAGAGAAATGGAGAAAAAATATATCATAACCACACCCCAAAGAAGGTTCTCTCTCTCTTTCTCTGGCATGTGCCTCCTGGCGAAACAAAAGCTATAGAAATATGTAAATGTAATCTACTACTTTACCTGCTGAAGTTCCTGCTCTCGTTGTTCATGTCTCATTTCCATCTGTTTTATTTTCTTTTCTAAGCCTATAAAGTGCTTCATCTCTGGTGTATGGTTTTCTTTGGCTTCTCTCAACTCTTCTAAGAGTTTTGTAATCTAAAATTGAAGTATGAGGTAAATAAAAAACTTTAATCACAAAGGAATAATTATTTTTTAACAGGTAATTTTGAAAATTAAGAACGTTTGTGTAACATTTCTCTAGATTACAGGCACCTTGGATTGAGAGAGTAATTAACAGCCTTCATGTCCTATGTCCAGGAAGTGAAGGTTCATCCTAGCTCTGAGCTGAATTCGCATTCTAAGAGGATGCAGGACCATCTCCTCCTCACCGTGTAGGCCAAGCTAGTTACGGGGCTAAAAACGAGGTTTAACATTCTTTGGTGCTATTCAGCTTTACAACAAGCTATGTATTAATAAGATGACTCTTTTTAGGATTAAACAAATACATTTAAGGCACAGTACAATGCCCAATGCATAGAAAGAGTTCAATAAATACGTATCCTTCTTTTGTCAATTTTCTAATTCTATTTGCAATTCTCTTATGGCCTTTATCACTTCATAATTTTTAGAAATTCATTCATGAAAAGATTCCGCCATTGCAGCTGGAACTAGTGCTTTCAGGGACTAAAGTAATGAAGATTTTCTGCTGAGATTTCTCCCTCCAACCCCATTCATGAGTGGTAGGGCCCACCCTGTATCCTTCTGTCTCTGTCTTTTCATTTAAAAAATTAAAAAAAAAAAATTAGGGTAAAAGTATTTTCTTGGCTCTCAGGTCCTCCTTTTTCTTGCTAATCCCCACCTTTCCCCCCTCCCTTCTAGGAGATGCAAAGACTCCACCATTGGAGTCTTTGTGGAATTAGTGCTTTTAGGAATTAAGATTGGCAAGAGTGTTGCCCTCCCCTCATCCTTCTGTCTCTATCTTTGCATTTTTTAAATTAAAAAAAAATTTTTTTTTTTTGGGAGAGATTTTCACTGTAGGGCGCGTGCGCTCACCAGACAGACAGAGAGAGACATAGAGACAGAAAGTGAGAAATCACTCCCCAGGGGGATGGTCACGCCGCAATCCCTTCTCCTCCATTCTCCTCTCGGGATCTTGGGTATGCACGCACACACGCCCGGCGTGAGTTTTAAGCCACCGGGTCCAGGACACGAACCGCGGTCGACTACGTAGGAGTCCAGCGACATAGCCATTACGCTAAGTGCTGGTTCCCAAAAAATTATTTTTTAAGGTAAAGTATTTTCTTGGCTCTCAGATCCACCTTTCTCTTGCTAATTCTCACTTTCCCCCGCTTCCCACCTAGGAGTGGCAAAGACTCTACCATTGGAGCTGGAACTAGTGCTTTTGTGCATTGTGCTCGCACGCCAGGTAAATAAATCTGACACAGGCTCAGGGCCTCATGGTCAGGCTGACTTTGTTGTGTACTGCAACTCTTTCTACTTCCTGCGGTCTATATTCAAACCCCATCAGTTCTAGGCTTTCCCATATTTTAGTCCCCTATCATAAAAAGTCCTTATATCCTAGATGTTCTACATTTAAGATTAGGAGGAAAAAAAAAAAAGCCTAGATTTTTGAATAATAGGGAAATGTACCCCAAACTCCTTTTTGTAGAAAGCCTTTTTCAGTTTCTTATAGATGCAAATCTTACCATGTCTTTGAAATGAATACAACAAGGTAATAACTGAAACAACTCTTACACCCACTTGAAACTGAAGAAAATAAAAGAGGGGTGAAGAAGTTTAAAAATTCTTTATTCAAAATGTAATCTACAGCTTCCATAAGATTACTAATGAAAGGCAAGATGAAAAAATTTTAAAGCTATCTCTAAAAATACCTTAACTATTCCAACTGCCAAAAGCACAATTTGTATCCAACTTTGAAAAACAAACAAAAAAATAAAAAAAACCAGTGAGTTTTATATTTTTCTGTCTGTCTCATGGCTAAAATGTTCACATGAAAGCTCTACGATCCCTATTTGCATCTGTCCACTTCTATACATGTGTTTATGTACAGGTGCTATTTTTCTACATTTGGATGATATGGCCAAATGTATTTTGTAAAAGTGTTCTACTTAGTTAAAGCAAAGTAAATACTTAAATAAATTAAGAATTTCTAAAACTCTTGGAAGCATAGAAACTGAAAAACTTTCCAAGTCCCATGTGCTTCAGGTAAATCTTTGGTATACAAGATTAGTTTAACATTACTGGTCTAATAAAAACAGGCACATCTTCAGAGTTGTAAACATTAAACAGAATCAGATGAATAACCTTTATCCTACCTGGGTTTACTAGTAACTCAATTACTCATAAATTAAGTAAATGTTAGTGGGTAAATGTTTATAAATAAACTTTTCAACAATGATTGTGTTTTACAATGTTTCCCCAGTGTCTCTGGTAACTTACATTCTCAGAGGTTTGCTAATAAGTTAAATGAAATGAATTCACTGCATATCTAGATGATATTCAAATAAACTAAAACATAAATTGATGAACATGAATCTATCTATTTGGGCTTCTTAATTTTTGCAGAGAAACTAAAGATATTTAAGGTCTGTTTATAGTATGTTCTTGTTACATTAAGAAAAAAAAAATTAAAAAGAAAACTGCAGTAGGTTGGCCCCATTGCTTATAGTTAAGGGTGCTGGATCCCTTGGGGCCAGCAGGTGGCATAGTGGATAAGGTGTTGGACTCCCATATGGCCTACTGAGGTTCAAGTCCCACACCTGGTGGCTTGGAAATCATGCCAGACGTGTGTGTGCATGTGCCCCAAATCCCAGGATAATGGAGGAGTAGGGATTGTGGTGTGGCCATCCTCCCAGAGGGTGATTTCTCACTTTCTTTCTCACTGTCTCAGTCTCTTCACAAAAACCTTTAAAAAAGGAAAGAAAAAGAGGAGAGCTGGATCTCATTTGGCTGGCTGACTGTGTGCTTTGAATTCCAGCAGTTGTAGCTTGCAAACCACACTGGGTATTTGTGTGGGGGCCCCAGATCTTGACAAGGAGATGGAGGAGAAGAAACTGCAACATGACCACACACTATCGGAGGGTGATTTACCCTCTCCCTTCCTCTCTCTGATGAGTGCAAGCATACCCTCGGGTCAAAAAACTAAACAAAACAAAACCAAGAGCACAAAGCTGTACTAAGAAGAAAAAACATACTCCAGAAATTTTGAAATGGAGTTCATCTATAGAATGTTGGTATGACAGGTAACAATGGCTTACTTTCTGTTTTCACTGGAAATTAAAGTTACTAAGAATGAAAAATTTTGTCATATGTAATTTAAACTACTAGAAATGATAAGGAAATAATTCTGTATGCAAAATGTACAGGACAAATAGGCAGTATTTTTGGTAAGAAAAATTATGTGGTACGAGGGTGTATTATTTTTAAATGTAAAAGAGTAATTCTGTACTAAAGCAGAACGACAGATTGTTTTAGAGTGTAAAAGGAGAATTAAAGACAAAAACTGAATGGATATAGAAGGCTAGCTAAGACAGAGAATCAATGAATATTATGTGTGCTTACACTGGCTAAAATCGCATAAATTTAAAATAAGCTTTTTCTAATAAAAAAAAATTATTTATTTATTCACTTGCTTACTTACTTATTTTTTATCGCCAGAGGGTATACGTGCTTAACAGAGAGGTGGGAGAGAAAAAGCATCTCCCAATAATAACGGGTCATGCCACAATCCCTTTTCCACCATTTCTCCAGTCTATCTGGATTATGGGAACTCTTGCCCTATGTCTGCAGTGTTTTTCAAGTTGCCAGGGCCAGGATCTGAACTGCAGTTGGCCATATAGGATCTGGCTACCTAAGCACATTGCTTAACCACTGCACTATGGGCCAGCCCTATAATAAGAGGCGGGGCTGAATTGTGAAGGTGTATGTGTGAATTGTGTGCTGGTGTTTGCTTTGCAATAGTTTGAGTAGTTGACATGTAAATATTTTCTTAAAAATATTAAAAAACATACTGTTTCTGTTTTTATATAGTCACAAACAAAATTATAACAAATATTTCAATCATTATCTTTAAAATTCAGTTTTTTGAAATTCTGAAAGTTATTAACTGTCAAGAACTATGGAGTATGAGCAAAAATTTTTTGATATGTAGAAGTTTGTGGGAAAAACATAAAAATAAATAAATATAAAAAAAAAAGAGTTTAAAAAATGAGCCTTAATATCCAAAGTACAAAACTAGAAGCTGGTTTTATGTTAAAATACCAAAATTTTCTTAGAGCACTAGTTGCTCTTTGATAAACTGTTCATTTACCTTTTAGGTAATCTATTCAGAAAACAAACATTCTATGTTTTATCATAATAATTTCTTGTCTTTCGTGTGATCTCTATCAAGTCATTGAATACCCAGAAAAACTGAGTCTTCTCAATATAAAACAAACAAAAACCCTTAGATTTTTTTTTCTCTTCTTAACAATTAATTTTCTTTAGAATTTTTAAATTGTCACTCTAGAAAACTTAAGTATTATATCACAGTGACCTGTGATCTTATTTAATCAAATATTTTAAACCTTTTGGTACTTCTGCCAACTTTCCCATGTTAATTCTAAATTAAGTTCTTTAGACCACAGACTAACTTTGGCATGTTCCAGATGGTCCCTAGAATATTTCAAAAGATTCTGTTCTCTCTCCTTGAAAAATGAGAGATGTTCAACTTCATGAGAGTCATTATCAAATGAAGGTGATGCTAAACCTTCTCTGGAGTTACATTTGTATGGATATATAATTAGAAGTGTTTCAGGAGTCGTATAAAATTCTTAGAAATCTGATACACAGTATGATGTTGTTAGTAATAATTTTAGTTATTATTATTAAAATGTTGTCTGTCACAGAACTTAACCAAATCATAATGCTGCAAGTATAGGTTTCTGATAAATTTTAGATGAGACCACTGAGTTCAGTTAGAGTTTCCAGACCTCTAATGAAGAAACTAATTAGTTTATCAAACTGCTAACTCAACATGAAACAGAGTAAGAATTATATGGGACTAAATAAACTAATGAAGGATTTTTTCATAGTTCTGTTTGAAACACTGCTGGTTCTTTAACGTTTTGCTTTCTAGAATTAAGGGAACCTTTTCTCTTTTCTCTTAGCTATTGACAGCTTACAGCAACTTGATAAATTATACATTTGTACACGGAATTAAAAATTTGTCTTTTTTTCCCTACTTATTCCCTAGAAACTATTTAAGTGAATAACTAACAATAACTTACAGAGCTAGTAAAGCTCTTGGGATACCTCTTCGAGGTCCTTTTACACACAGTTGCCTTACACGGTATCTTATAACTAAGAAGGGAATGTTGTTTCCTGCCAGGACCGAAAAACTTATATTTTGGGAACCTGAAAAAAAGAGGAATTCATCCAAATATGTAAGTATTTCAGGCAAGTCGCTTGCTTGACTTCCTATCCTGGAGAGGCTTTGAAAGATTCCTTATTAAATTTTTAGCAAAGCAGACTCTAGTGAAGAGAGAAAAAAACCTCACAACAATGAACAGGCCTAGAATCTGGTATCTATCAAAAGAAATATGTTTTAGTTTTCTACTGACACATAGGTTTTTTGTCTCTTCACTCAATCCTCCTACTATTTCTATCAGAGACTATCACAGTAAGACCAACTTGTTTACGAAAATAAATCTAATCTATCATTTAATTTGCCTGATTATTTACATAAGTGAAAAAGGAATGTGATTGACTATACAAGGTTTCTGAAGTCTGCTTTGCTTAAATTTTTTTCTACAATATTTCCTAGGATACTAGAAAGTATCCTACTAGTAGCTACTACCTAATAGTAGCTAACTATTATTTTCCAAACCCATATTTCCTTTCAATTTTTCTCCCTCTACCCTGTCATAGAACTGCTGAAAATTAAAACTGTCCTTTTCCTGCAGCCTTAATGAAATGCAGCAGAATGACTTGATATAAACTGCATAGAACTGGGTTAGCTGGTGGTTGGAGTGGCAACCTCTAATACAAATCTCTCCAAAGCTACAAACATGGAGAGTTCCAAGTCACTGCTTTGAGGTTGCTCCTGTACTGTGTATTACGCATGTCAATAAACTTCTTTGTTTTTCTTTTATTAATCATATGTTTCTGGGTCCACCTCAACTAAAAGCTTAGAAGGGGTCAAAGAAAAAATAAATTTTCCTCACTAACAGTGCTTAATACAGAAATGGCTGTAACTATCCGATTCTACCTCATAAAAAAATCAAGATCCAGGTCCAGCAGGTGGCATAGTGGTTAAGGTGCTGGACTCCTACATGGGCAACTATAGTTCAAATGCTGGACCTGGTGGTTTGAAACTCATGCAAGGGATGTGTGCATGCATGCCCAAAATCCCATAATGAGAATGGAGGAGAAGGGACTGTAGTGTGGTCATTCCCCCTTTATGATCGATACTTTTAAGTTATGTTTATTTGTACATTTAAGCCAAAAATTTACACAGAAATATGAATATGATTGAATGCCTAAACAAAGCTTATATATATAAAGCCCAGTATTGTGATTATATCCTACCTCTTTCTGTAGGATTTCTTCCCGAACTTGAGAAACTACAAGAGATTCTTGTTTACTCTGTAGCTCATTAACTTGACTTTGGAAATGTTTTATAAGTACCTAGAAAATTGTTAGAAGTACTGAGTTAATAAAGTTCTTTTTAGAACAGTATTTGAAGACATAAGAAAGGCAACTCATAAATGAAAAAATACATTTAAAAATAAAATCTCTGTAAAGTCTAAGCATGTGGAAGAAAATGGACATTATCTTTATGATTAAGTAGAATAATAGTTTTTATCAAAGAGCAATTGACTCAAGATAAGCCTCAAAATTTGGGTAAAATAAATAACAGTCTCATAATTTTAGACAAAGAAAGCTGAAATATAAGAATAGGTCATGAAATAGTCTTAGAAAAAAATTCATTGCTCATTAATCTAATGCTGTACTTTATTCTAATGATTAGACTACACTAACTTCTGTTTTCTTCTCCTTTTTGGAGAGGTTTTTGCTATAGGGCACGTGGGCTTGCCAGCCAGACAGAGACGGACATAGAAACCGAAAGCAAGAAATCACCCCCCAGGGGGATGGTCATGCCACAATCCCTTCTCTTCCATTTTTCTCTCAGGATCTTGGGCACGCACGCACACGTGCCCAGCGTGTTTTAAGCCACCGGGTCCGGGACGCGAACCACGGTCAACTATGTGGGAGTCCAGCGACATAGCCATTACGCTAACTGCTGGTTCCCATAGACTACACTAACTTCTGTTTACAGCTCTGGGAAAATAACGTATTTTAGTACTATGGCAGTATGACATTTTTTTTCTCACCTCTCTCAGACATTTTCTTACTATAAACTCAGTTGAAATAATGCTTACAAATGCCTTTAACACTCTTCTCACTTCTATGAGGGAAAATGCTAACGGGTATCTATAAGGCAGAATAGACTAACTTTTGAAAAGCACTTTAAAGTATTAAAACAGTCCTTTGTTTCTGAGCTATCTGTAATGAGATTGCAGGCCTCATGACATTTCACCCAGTAAATAATTCTAATACTTCAGCATGTATCTCCTTATAATAAGGATATATCTCATGAAACTGCACAATATTTTTATACCTAAGCAAACTAACAATTTCTTAATAGCCAGTTTACATTAAGGGATTTTTTTAAAAAATTATATGGCCTTAAGTAATTATAAATGAAAAAAGATAGAAGGAATTTTTTTCTTGAAGTTTACCCCACAAGCTTGCTTTTAAAATTAAAACCTATATAAAAAATAGAGTACAATAAATATCATATATTCAATTTGATTCATCAACTGCTAACATTTTGCCACATTTAAAAAAAAATTATTTTCTTAGATAAACCAGTATTTTAATGCTGTTTTTTAACCTAAGACAGCAGAAGAAGTTCTATGTACTCGATATCACAGATATTCTAAGTACATGCTCCTATTATTCAAGAAGGAGGACACATGTTTTTGAGGAAATGCTGATGCGCTGCCAGCATTCTCCATCATAACTCGTGGACAATTACGCTTCTTAAGGACTGGAGCTGCTTATATCTCTGCTCATTATTTACTCAGTAAAGGAAAGGTAACGAGTAGGAAGAATGCCTGAGGAGAATTACATGTTAGTAGGGACTTGGGATAGAAATAGACAGTTCTAATTCAGTTCAAATACTAGTGTCCCATTCATGTTAGACATGTATCCCAACCATTTTCCATTTGTCACCACCTATTTAAAGGAAGATTTATTTGAGAAATATAGGAATGAAACTGTAAAAATGCCTATTTACAGGGTATAACTTAAAGTAGAAAAAATTAAACATATGGTGATGGCATCTTCTTTTTTTTAAAAAAAAAAAATAAAGCCAATATTTTTCTCTATCCATCAGGAACCTGAAAAGTCAAGTTAAAATATTTCCAAATTAAATAACAGTCCTGGAAAAAAAGATCACATTAAATAAAAAGAAAGTTTCTTAAAGAAAAATCAAAACAGATTTGTCACCTACCTCTTGGGTTGCTATTTTACGATTAAGTTCAGCTACTTTGGAAGAAGAATTTTCTACTGCATTTTGGCAAAGGAGTTTCTCCACTTCCCTCTGATGAGATGCCTTGAGGGATGCTATGTGAGCTTCAGTGTCTTCCTTGACCCTACAGAGCAGATGAAAGAAAACCACACATAAAAGTGGCTCTTCAATCTCTGATTCAGAATTACAGAACAGCAGTGTAAGACACCTAGAAACTAAAGAAGTGAAGGGGAGGACAGCAGTGTGAGCTGCATGGTTAAGTGCTTTATACATTACCACCTGTGAGTTCTCACAACTATTCCTTGAGTGCGCTATTATTTGCTGGAGTTGATAAGGACAGGCTTGAGTTTAGGAAAGAGTTACATATCCAGGGTCCTGATGATTAGTTGTTAGCTGGGATGCAAGCCCAGCAGAGCTAGACTTCAAAGTCTGGGCCTTCTTGTCTATTCTTCCCCAGCTTGGCCTATACTTTCTGAGGAAATCTAAGGTTCCAAAATATGTTTGAGTTTAAAACAAAGTGCCGGACATTTTATCTTTTAAGATACACTTAGATTTTCTTGCTCAGATTCCTATTTGGATAATCATGTCCCCTCCCTTTAGATTGTTCAAAGTTTTATGCATTGGCAGCATTTGCCAAGTTTTGGTCGGTGCATATAGCTCCAGGGATAGCTGCCTATGGTGATAATAGTGATCTTTATGGTAATTCTCAGGCCACACAGGTAATCTGCAATTGATTGATTTGGACTGTAAGTGCGAGATAGTATTCATTTGTCTCTGTGCCAAAACTTATGTATTCACAGTCAGCTTAGTAAATGGTAAAATTATAAATACAGTTGGGATATTTCTTAGAAACAAATGTTTTCTTTTATTGGAAGGACTGTAAGAACTGACAAGATCAGGGGCAGCTGGTGGCCTCGTGGTTCCAACTGCACAGTTAGCGACCTGGTGGTTTGAAAAACACACTGTCTGTGTGTGTGTGTGTGTGTGTGTGTGTGTGCATGCCCAAAATCCTGAAAGGAGAAATAGAGGAGAAGGGATTTTGGCATGCCCATCCTCATGGTGGCGGGGGGGTGCTTTTTCACTTTCCTTCTCTCTCTGTCTCTCTGGTGAGTGCATTTTCCCTCTACCAAAAATAAATAAATAGGATTTCACTTAAAGCAGATATTTTAGTCAATTGCTGTTAATACATATTAACATGACAACAACCCAACTACAGACAAATTTGTCAGTTGTTCACTTCACTGTATGTATATTCTCCATAGAAAGGGTCCCAATCTGGGACTAGGAAAGTTTATTCTTCACTTCTCATGACCAGAGCTATCTGAAAATCAGCTGGACAATGCTAGAAAAATTTACAATTATGTATAGGAAAAATTTTAGGGAAAAACCTAAATTTTAACTTATTTCCAGGAAATAAGAGGAATATGATTCTTCCCAGATAGCTTCATACTACTACCATACTCAGGACTGAAGAAACAAAGTTCCAATCTGGAAGCAATGTAATTGCCAGCATGACTCAATCCCTGGTGTGACCGCCAACCAAGCAGTAAGCATTCATTAGATGCTTCCCAGGCTCATTCCACTCCTACATTAGGCTGCTGTGCGGGTACATAATCTTGTATCTATCTGTTTGCAAGGAGCTGCACGGCTGTGTATGATTAATGCGGTCTTGGGACACATTATAAGTTATGTAAGGTTGAGGGTGGGAGTAGGCAATTTCCCGGGAAGCTCCAAAAATGTGTTGCAGAGGAGGTAGGACTTGAAACCAAATGAGCAAAAAGCATGAAAAAATGAGGCAGATTAGGCTTGCAGAGTAGTATTACAATAGTGATGATACTTGAGACACAGTCTTGATATTTAAGGAACCTGGGAGTCACTAGAAGCCACAGTGATTCAGATACAGATATATTAAAGGACATTAATGGTTTTTAAGCAAGATGATTAGGAGAGGGAAAACAGAAATGAGGCAGAACAAGGTGAGAAAATTATGTAGAAAAGCCAGGTAGGCTGTACTGGTTTACTACAGTAAAAAAGAAAGCGAAGTCAGAAACATTTCTATAGAAGCGCCCTATCGACTGTGAACCCAAATAGTTAAAGGAAGTAAAACTGGGCCTGGAAACAGAAGTCAGTATATTCATAGACAGGAAATGTGGAACTTGGGAGGAGGAACTAGCTTATAAATAAAAAAGAAATAGCATTTGAGGTACAATTGATTTTAAAAGCAGTAATCCAATAGTTGTAGAGATGGAGGATGTGGGGATGGTCAGGCCCAACACCAGTGCCTGATTCAGAACAATAGGACCAGGTATTTGTCTACACTTATGAAAAATTAAGAGACATGGACAAATGGAAATGCAGCAAAATAAAGTTCACTGAAGGACAGCAAACCTCCCAAGCAGGGAGGGATCCCAGGAAAGGTTTGCCAAAGAGGAGCTGAGGCAGGGGTTTTTAGGCAGCTCTCTGATAAAGAAGGGGGCTTCAGAAAATAGTTACACAGTGGTGGGTAATTTATTATCCCATTCTTTGTGGGGTCAGCAAACCATATCGATCTGTGCTTCTTATTAAAATGTACTAGGTCATTGGGAAAGTCATGATGCATTTTTGCATAGAAAAATACCTAATAGTTAGCAAATAGAAACTGGTGCCCTTAGCTGTAATTGTTATGAGCCTTAATGCAACCAGTTCTGTGTTTTTTAAAACCTAGCCACTGTGACTCCATCTTGAATGAAGCTCACTATGTCTCTATCTTGGGCTTTATACTCTAAATATATGCCCCAAGACTATCTCCTATCAGTAGGTTTAATGCTAAATTCGTGGAATAGAACATGTGATAGGGCAAGCTCCATGGTGCAGTGGTAATGCACCGTTCAAGAGAAGACAGATGCCACATGTGACCACAGTTCAAATCTCCAGCCTGGTCAGCATGAAACCTAACAGGCACATGTGAGTGCCCAGGATCTGATGGGCTGGAAAACTGGAGGAAAGGGATCACAGTGTGACCAGGCCCTGTGGAGGGCATTCACCTCTCTCTCACACGAAAGTGCATGTGCCCTATCATGAATTAAAAAAACAAACAAACAAAAAAAACCCAATGACAACAAAAAGTCTAAGTCTTGATTCACAGAAGACATTGAATGGACAAATGTAACAATGAAGAAAAACAGAATAAAATGAAAGCCAAGAATTGAATGTTTGGAAAGAACCAGATTTCTGGGGCAGGAGAAGGAAGGGGAATCAGAAGTCATTAAAGAAACAGAAAAGAAATTTAAGTTACAGGTCCCAAGTCATGGAGGTTAAGGGAAGAATCCAGTCAATCAACATTATCACAGAAAATAAGAATGGAAAAAAAATCACCAGGCTAGGAAAGGTCCTTATTGAGAGACCATGTTTAAAAATAGAAGGGATGAGAGAACTTTCCAGAAAGCTTGGTGAGAAGCTGAGGAGCGGAGGCTGGCTGAGCTGTGCAGAGTTACGCACCCCTTCCTGCTCCCCCACACGGACCTCAGCCTGATCACCAGCTGTAGAAAATGGTGAAGGAAATGACTTACTATGATGGTTTGGGGGTCAAACCCAATACTACCTAGGAAGAACTGAAGAAGGCTTATAGGAAACTGGCCTTGAAGTACCACCCTGATAAGAATCTAAATGAAGGCAAGAAGTTTAAACAGATTTCTCAAGCTTATGACGTTCTCTCTGATGCGAAGAAAAGAGAATTATATGACAAAGGAGGAGAGCAGACAATTAAAGAGGGTGGAGCAGGTGATGGTTTTGGCTCTCCAATGGACATCTTTGATGTTTTTTGGAGGAGGAGGAAGGATGCAGAGAGAAAGAAGAAGTAAAAACGTTGTACATCAGCTGTCAGTAACCTTAGAAGATTTATATAATGGTGCAACAAGAGAACTGGCCCTGCAAAAGGATGTGATTTGTGACAAATGTGAAGGCTGAGGTGGTAAGAAAGGGGCAGTAGAGTGCTGTCCCAATTGCCGAGGTACTGAATGCAAATAAGAATCCATCAGACAGGACCTGGAATGGTTCAACAAGTTCAATCTGTATACATGGAGTGCCAAGGCCATGGGGAACAGATCAGTCCTAAAGACAGATGTAAAAGTTGCAATGGAAGGAATATAGTTCAAGAGAAAAAGATGCCATAAGTTCATATTGACAAAGTCATGAAAGATGGCCAGAAGATAACATTCCATGGTGAAGGAGACCAAGAACCAGGACTGGAGCCAAGAGATACTGTCACTGTACTAGATCAGAAAGATCATGCTGTTTTTACTCAACGAGAAGAAGAGCTTTTCATGCATATGCACATAGAGCTGACTGAAGCATTGCGTGACTTCCAGAAGCCAGTTTCCACTCTTCACAACAGAACCATAGTCATCACCTCTCATCCAAGTCAGACTGTCAAGCGTGGAGATATAAAGTATGTGTTAAATGAAGGCATACCATTTTATCGTAGACCATATGAAAAGGGTCACCTAATCACTGAATTTAAGGTAAACTTTCCTGTGAATAGTTTTCTGTCTCTTTGCGTGACTTCCAGAAGCCAGTTTCCACTCTTCACAACAGAACCATAGTCATCACCTCTCATCCAAGTCAGACTGTCAAGCGTGGAGATATAAAGTATGTGTTAAATGAAGGCATACCATTTTATCGTAGACCATATGAAAAGGGTCACCTAATCACTGAATTTAAGGTAAACTTTCCTGTGAATAGTTTTCCGTCTCTTGATAAACTCTTTGTTGGAAAAACTTCTACCTGAAAGGAAGGAAGTAGAAGAGACCAATGGAATGGACCAGATAGAACTGGTGGACTTTGATCCAAATCAGGAAAGATGGCACCATTACAATGGAGAAGCATATGAGGATGATGAACATCATCCCCAAGCTGGTGTTCAGTGTCAGACCTCTTAACGGGGCCAGTGAATAACACTGCTGGCATTTTATATGCAGTAGTGAATGAGTGAAGGACTATAATCATAATATGCTCACTACTTGCTACTGTTTTTGTTTCAATATTCATCTATAGTAGTGTTTTAAAAAGTTAAATGAAGAATAAATGCAAATATAAAAGCTGAAAAAAAATAGTAGGGATGAGAGCCATACTTAAGAGGAAGTGAGATAGAAATAAAAGAGGCTACTTATGGAAAACCGGCACTAAAAGAAAGAAGACTAGAACTTGATCAGATAAAAGAAAGACCTGAAGATATCAGAAAGCTCAGAGGAGTGGGACAGTGGATAGCAGCAGGAGATCCTGAGGAGGAACGAGGTGACCATAAAAGTGACTCAGGCATGAAAGGCTGTGCTCACAAGCTCAGTCTGAAGAATTATTTTGGAAAGAGGCCTTTTTCCTCTTCAACTGTCAACCTCATTTAATACTAGCTGTTTTCTTCCTTGAGCTATCATAAATGATGAGCTTTCATAAATGATGGCATTGCTTGGCAACAAGCGCCCAATGGGTCAGCTTTTGAATACCACCCTGGTACATGCAGAAAGAGAGGTTTGGTCAGCCCAAAGTTGTGGTCTGGGCTGACATGGAGGTTTGGTTTCATCAGACTCTGGGCTTCTAGCCGAGAGAGGACCCTACTACTCTAAAACAGGCCTGTGCTCAGCAATGTAATGCATTACCTTAACATTCAGTTTACCCAGAGGAAATATAGCTTACTGTTTTTTAATTTTTATCTTTTTATGTCCCCTTCATTTATAAATAATTTAAAAATTTACCTTTTCATGGAATTTTCAAAATGGTTCACGGCTGCTTCACACTTCATCTTCAGCTCATTCCGCTCCAAAATTAGTCCCTTCATCTCTGTTTTCAATCTGTGGTTTTCCTGCAAAACCTCTGAAACATGGAAATCAGTAAAAGCATGTGGCTGGTAATGCTTGTTGTCCAGAGTCCCAGGGAAAGAATGAGTGTTGCCTTTACTTGGGTGTAGGACATCTTTCCTCACCCTTTTGGCACACATGTCCTCTTTACCCCTAGAGTTCTGATTTGACAGCATCATTCTCCTCTCCTTCTGAAGCCTCTCCACAGTTTTAGAAAGATCTTGTATTTCTCTCCCTTTTGCAGCCAGTTCTTCATTAAGTCTTGCCAGTTTAGCTTTGGCATGAGCCTGTTCCACCTGGAATTCTATAGACTGGAAATCTTTATCATCTTTAGCATTTTTCTTGAGTTCTAACTCAGCATTCTGATGTTTAAGATCCTCTATTTCAGCTTCAAGGTTTCTTACAGTGATTTGATGGGCTTCCTTAATGTCGTCCAGTTCCTTCTCCAGTGCTTTAACCCTGGAGGAGTTGTCAAGTTGGTTCTGGGATGCTTCCTTCAACTTGCAGGCAAGGAGCTGCTCCTGCTCCTCTAGTCTCTGTTCATACAGAATCTGAAGAAAAGACATGTAATATTAAACTCCTGCTAAGTACTTCATTAGTCACTGAGACCCTGCATTTGACCATGCTCTACCATTCTACCATGTTCTACCTGGCCCTTCATTTAGGCACTCATTGTACATTCTGATGTCACCAATTCTCCGCATCTTGAGTAAGTCAGCTGTACTGAAGTACTACTCTTTGTCAAATTTAACAACATACAGTCTTGATATATGCTATATCATTTCAAAATTGATGTTTTATAAGTATGAAAATCAAACTTATATACCCTTTTCCATGCAAATTGTCAAACATACTCTTTGAAGGTAAATGGGTAAAGCTTATTGGGATTTTTGAAGTCTTTGAGAAACAGCCCACTGTCAATCTTCAACATCAACTTACTAATCTCATAGGGAGTTAACAAAGCTTGGAATCTGTATACTGGCACTTTAGTTTTACAAAGTTTATAAATGCTTTAACTCTGTGGAGGGTGGCACCAATAGTGTTTCATTATTCATTTAATGAATATTTATTGAGCTGCAATTTCATGCCAACCACTATGCTAGGTTCTAGAGACAAAAAGACATAGTACTTGCTTTCAAATAGCTCACAGCCTGGGAGGACAGTGATACAGCAATAGTCCCCATATCCTATGGTAACTGTTTAAATTCAGTTTTGAGTGGTGACTATCAGTTTGGGGGTAAGTGAAGGTAGAAACATTTTGGAACTGAGAAGAGCATATGTGAAGGCAAGTGAATGCTTGGTATGTACTAGAAATCAGAAATGAAAGTGGAATGTGGCAGGTAGGGGGCAGGGGCAAGAAAGGAATGGGATAGGGAACTGGTTTGCAAAAAGAAAAAAAAGCAAGATGTATAGATTAGATAGATGAGGGGGGTCTTCAAAAAGTTCATGGGGAAAAATGAGTATTTTGAAAAACTATGCATCAATTTCAACATTTTTTGCACCAAATAAACTTGTACTTTGATTCCATCTTCCATGAGATCTGTGAAGTCCCCTCATAAAAAGGTAGAAGGGTGGAAGGTTGAAGTTCATACCTAAGAGCCCCTATTTGGTTGGTGGAATATTAATAATAATTATAACCATTTGCTAAGAGTTTGCTGTATACCAGGCATGATACTAGGGCTTTGCATATATTCTGACACTCAAATTTCTTGATAATGCCCTATGAATTAAAGATTAATTAAAAGGGGCTGGCAGGTGGCATGGTGGTTAAGGGACTGAACTCCCATATAGTCAACCATGATTTTAGTCTCAGACATGGTGGCCTGAAAATCACACCAGGCATGTGTGTGTACATGCCCAAAATCCCAGGAGGAAAATAGAGGAGAAGGGACGGTGGCATGGCCTTCCTCCCTCTGGGGTTATTTCTCATTCTTCCTCTCACTGTGTCTCTGTCTCTCTTCCCAGTGAACACACACTCCCTATGGCAAAACCCAAAAGAAAAGTAAAAGGATTAATTAAAATATTTATTGAGTGTATACTCTGTACCAGGTAGAATGATGACTACAATGGTAATAGAAATGGTAATAGAAAAACAGCCCCAGTCCATGGAGTCCAGAATCTAGATGGGGAAATAGACCACTAACAATTTGGTCAAGATAGCGGAGATCACGGTGAATGCCACAAAGGAGAGGTGCATGGGGCTGAGAGTGCTTAGTGCCTACAGAAATCATTCATCTACCAGTAAGTCCAGGGAGGGTTTCGCTGGGCAAGCAAGGCTTGACCTGAGAGCTGAGGACACCTTCACTTTGGGGTCAGTGAGGTAGGCAGAGATACTGATGAGGGTGCACACACTTTGGTGGTTGTAGGAAACATTTCAAGCAGGACACAGGTCTGCCTGACTGCACAGAGAAAACACAAGAGAAAGAAGGCCTGGCTACCTGTGCATAAATACACCATTAATTTATCCTAAGAGTAGCAAGAAGATGCTGAACAGGTATCAACCAAGGTAGGTGTGTGTGCACACGGAAGTCAGAGGTATGAAAATAGAATTTCGCATTAGTGTCAAGAGTTAGGAGAGGCAAAGTGGGTATGTGTAGATGAGTCAGGAGCTTACTGCAGTAACCCAGGCCATTTTTTATTAATGACTGTAATACAGTGACATGCTGATGAAAACAATCAGTGGAACTGGATGATATTAGGAGTAAAAGTGGATAAATGGCAATACGTCAGTTATTTCTTTCACATAAAAAGAAACAGAGGCTCAGAGAGGTTAATAACTAACTCAAAGTTATGAATCTAAAAGGGCAGAGCTGGATCTAGACTGAAGATCAGTCTGACTCTTAACATGTATGTTTTCCATTATGCTATGGTCTACAGTACTCCGGGGGCAAGGTCTGCCAAGAGGTAAAGGTGATGACAAGATGAACTGGACGAAAGGTTAGAACACGTAAAGGCATAGGAGCAGCCTCATGCAATAGGCCTGCAAGTAGGAACCAGAGTATTCACAAGAATCCCTGTACCTGCCACAGCTCCACTCTCACAGCCGGGTAGTCTTCAGACACAAAAAACAGTATGAGTGCAGGAGATGGGTGAGCGAGGATGCAGAGCGGGGAGGGGTGCCTCAAGGAGCACACTTCAGAATGTAGGCTAGTAAGAGAAGTAAGCATGCGGGGGCTGAGAGATCTGTTTGCCTTTTTTGTTGTTTATGTGCGTGTGAGAGAGCGAGCATGAGCCTCTCAGTGGGGCATGGTCACACCACAGTCCCTTCCTCTGTCTCCCCCTATTGCCGGGAATGTGGTCAAACACGTGCATGTACGTGGTATGCTTTCCAGCCACACTACCATGCACTTACCTTCACTTTTTGAAACTGCTGTTCCATGGTACGAAGACTTTTCTTTGCCTCTTCATCTTTGCCCTCCAGATCAGCTTCTAGCTTTTTTATCCTTTTTTCCATAAATTCTACTGTATTTTTATCCACTGTATCACCTGCTGCTGAAGCAGCTAATATTAAAGCAGGTAAAGAATTGGGATATCTTCTCTTTAGAATTCCTTCCATTTCCTTAACCTATTAACATACATATAAAATGAAGCAGTTTAATGTCTACATTTAGATTCTGAGCTCTATCAGGCATGCCTAGATTTCAAAGACAGATGATATTTGTATCACACATCCAGACTGAATCAAGTGGATGGAGGCAAGAATTCGTTTCAAACTTTATACTCCTAGATCATCTCATTAAGAAATCCTGTAGTATAAGGTCTAACTGATTAATTTAGAGAACTCTTTTCACATGTTTTTGGAAACACATCTTGAGAACTGCTATTACATCAGTAATAACTAGTTTTCTGAGTATAGAACATTTTCCCTTCCCTCTTTCAGACCTCTCCATCTGGCAGTGTTTCTACTATTGATTGATTGAAAAACTGCTTACATGCACACAAACGTGCGACCCTGTCGTACTAAACAGAAAGCTTTCTAAGCACCTGCTCCTGCCTGTAACAATCTCCATCCTAACCCCAACCCCACAAAATGAAGTTTAGTCTCTTTTAAAATGTCATCTTTCAATTTTAATCCTCCTTCAAAGCACTTAGCAGAGTGCCTACCTGACAAGTAATGATGTTATCATAGAGCCTAAATACTTTTCATTTAGCCTATAAAACAATGATATGATACGTGGTATTTCTGTAACAAAGAGCTGCACCAAGGTCTGCAGAAATTCAGCTTGATATTACATAAGCCTATATGTGACCATCTGTGTTTTAAAAGGTATTTAAGATTTATCTTTGGAAAGCATACCTTAGAGCAAATTCTTAAACAGCTTTCTAGCCTTGAGCATGTGATAAGATGGCACCTGAGAGGCCACTGGGTGTCATGGTGCAGAGCATGTTTGGTTAGACTCTGTACCAGCTTCCAACTTTGTGTAACTCCTCAATCTAGTAGTATAAGACAGCACATACAGATCACATACGTTTAAAAGAGAGCTAGATTTTAAAAAGTAAGTGTACTTTATAAGTAACAAATTTATTTAAAGACTAAGAAATATTTTCAATGTACTTTTGATACCTTGAAATACCTATTACATTTTTGAGGAAAACTTCGATTTTTATTTAAATCTTCAACTTTGCTTTTGTTTTCTACAGGGTCTCACTATGTTGTGACTCCCCACCCTGTGCTCCACCCTTCATCTTCCAAGTAGCTAGGGGTACAGGGGCATACACCCAGGTCTCAGCCTCAGGAGCAGCTGAGATTACCTGCTTGTGCCACCATGTCTGGCTTTTAGCACAGGCCAGAAATCAAACCCAAGTTTCTCATGTTGTCTCAGTCTGCTAAGCAGCACTATCAACCATATGCACTACCATGGCTTGGCCTTTAATTTTACTTTTCATAAGTTATTCTTTGGTCAATGGAACCAATGTGGCTTGTGTACAAAGTAAATCCCACATTCTTTTTATAACTCTCATCAAAAATTAAACTTTGAAATATACCATTAAATCAAAGCATGAGTAAATGCAAATAATCTGGAATTTTCATTATAACATGAACCTAATTGGCTCTATTTTTACTTATGTTCTATTTAGGAAAAAAATATTTCTAATATAGGAATAAAGATATTTTATTTTATAATTAATCTATTTTAGAATATGGGTCCAAAATAATTCTAAATATATTTTGATATACCTTAATTGTAGGATATATTTTAAGGTTTAAATAATTAGGAAAGTAATGCTATGGAAACAGAATAAATAAGATCTAAAATGTATATGGAGCAATCTGACTATACAAAATCCCATCAAGTGGTGAATATTTTAGACAGATATAATTTAAGATGACAAACCAAAAACTGTTTAATGAAAGTGTTAACAGAAGAGAGCAGTTACTTATATAACAAGGTACATTGGGCCAATATGAATCACCATTTGAAGTCTTCATTTTGCTCTCAAGCAAGCTTTTCCTTTACTCCTATACATTCAGTTCTTCATGATTTCTCTTAAAGTTATTTAATGGAAAAGTAGTTCCTTTGCTCTTTCCTCTTATAATTCTGGATAGTTTCTACATTGGCTAATCCAATTCTTAAGCACGGAAGAAAAGCCAAAAAAATTCTGGACCACACTTACTTTTTCAAATATCTCTAACTCTTCAAACCATCTTTGTCTTGGTCCTTTTTTGGCAACTAAACCATACTACCAAATCATTACTGGCAAATGGAAGGCTAGGTTCTGTAAAAGTTACAAAATGAATTATTTGTCCAATTTTCCCTCCTCTCATAAAATTGGGGTAATACTCAGCTCACGGATGACCTCACAGTTGTGGGTTTGTGAAGAAACAATAGCCATATAGTTTAAGTATAATGACTTCACTACAGAATCATGCTCCTATGTAAACAGATTTGGAATTTCTTTTTTTGATATTTACTTAAATGAATACAAATGCTACTTTACAGAAAAAATTTTAAAATAAAAGGAAAAAATTCATTATAATTCTATTTCCCTAAACAACTACTTCAATTTAAAAAAAAAAGTTTTTACTAAAATTATGTAATGAAACAAATCTGAATAAAAGTCTGCCCATACTGATCATGAAAGCAATCTTTCTTTTTTTTTTTTGGGGGGGGGGGGGGGATTTTTGCTATAGGGCATGCGCACTCACTGGACACAGAGAGAGAGATAGACATAGAGACAGGAAGTGAGAAATCACCCCCAAGGTGGATAGTCACACCGCAATCCCTTCTCCTCCATTGTCCTCTCGGGATCTTGGGCACACACACACACGCGCCCGGCGTGAGTTTTAAGCCACTGAGTCTGACACTTGAACTGTGGTCAACTATGTGGGAATCCAGTGACATAACTGCTACCCCATCTGCTGATCCTAAAAACAATATTTTTAAGCCTGAACACTGAGAGGAAGCTTAAGATGATGGCCAGTTCTTTGGCAGGATGAATGTTCTGTTTATAGGATGTTTTGCAACATTTCCCAAGCATTACCAACATGTTCCCAATTTAAGGAACTCCTTTCTGGTACTTCTCTCCCATCTATCTTTGGTCAAGAGAAGGAATACTAACTCTAAGCCCAGAGTTTCAAAGTTCTGTGTCCTCCTTCTTAGGTGTCTAAGAGATCTGAGGTCCAAAATGACCTTCCATTAATCAGTCTAGTATCTTATAAGTGAGGCACATTGGTCTAAAAATTCTTTATTTATAAGGCTGTAGATGATACGAAATGATGCTTATTACTTTTATTAAATGTTACTTTAACACAAGAATTTACAGGTTGACTACATCTTAGAGAATCTCCAGAAACAAAAGAGAAGACAAAAATGCACCATGTATAAAATACCTTAGGGAAAATTTATCCTTAACACATACTTGTCGCTCCAGATCCTGAATTTTTTTGGCATCAGCTGCTCTATCTTTCAGACGTATCTTCTGCTGAATAGCTGGGTTTCCAGATTCAGCTTTTAGTTTCTCAATCTGTCAATAAATAAAGAACATGTGGAAAAGCATTTTTAAAACACAACATAAAGTTTTTCATTGAAAATGATGTATATAGGACCAGCAGATGGCATAATGGTTACATCTTTGGACTCGAGTCCTGGACCTGATAGCTTACAATTCATGCCAAGTATGTGTACATGTGTGCCCCAGATCTCGAGAGTAGAGGGAAAGAAAGGGGACCGTGGCCTGGCCATCGCCCTGGGGGGTGATTTCTTGCTTTTTGTCTCTCTGTCTCTGTGGCAAGGGCATGTGTCCTATAGCAAAAATCTCTCAAAAAAGGAGGAAAAGGAATGATATGATATATAGCAATACCCCTGATTTGACTGCTATGTACTACGTGCATACTTTGAAAAATTATATTGTGTGTTATAGAAATGTAAAACAATGAAGTGTGAATAAGAAATCATAAAAACAAAATACACACAATAGGTATCATGGGGTAAGCAAAACATTAGTTCATTCATTCATTCATTCGTTCCCCAATGAACACTGAGTGAGCTCCTCTCACTTTCCAGGCCCTTCCCAGATATGGCACAGTACTGATGATACCAAGGTCTGACGAGACAAAGTAGGCCTTCGCTCTCATGGTGCTTATGCTCCCATGGGGGCAGGTAGCTGATAAGTAAAGGAAATCAGTAAGTAAGTAAGCTAACTTTAGAGAGTGACAGTGGCTATGAAGAAAACGAGTTAATGATGAGAAATAAAGAGCCAATAAGGGACAGCAACATCAGATAAGAGAGTCAGGAAAGGTCTTTCTGGATAGTGTAAATCTGACTTGAGCCTTGAATAAGGAGTGAGACTTGGGAAGAACCAAGGTCAGAGTATTCTAGAGAACTAGTGCAGCCAGCTCAGCATGCTCAGGGTTCAGAGGCACCTCGGTGTGGCTGGAAGAGAGTGACTTGGGACAGTGTGTGGCCAAATAAGGCTGAATAAAGAGGCAGGGTTCAGACCAAGGGGGGGACCTGACAAGTAATTTAAGGAATCTACATTTATCCTGAGTCTAATCCAAAACAGACTACATATTTAAGTGCAATACAAAACCGGAACCTGCTTTGTTTTTGTTTCTGTCTAGATTTTTGCCATAGGGCACATGCGTCACCAGAGAGAAAGGAAGACAGGGAAAGTGAGAAATCACCCTCCAGGGTGAGGGCCACCACAATCTCCTTTCCATTCCCTTCTCAGGACTTTGGTGTACACACGCTTGGTATGTTTCTCAAGCCACTGTGTCCAGGTCTCAAACTGTGGTCAGTCATGTGGAATCCTGTGCCTTAGCCTCCCACGCCACCTGCTGGGCCCATTTTATGTTTTTTAAAGCTATTTCAACTAAAGAGTTTAGAGCAGTGATGCAATGACACAAGGTTATGTACAAATGACTCTTAGAACAATAGGACTCGTCTACACAAATCATTCTGGTTACAATCTATTACCTCAAGTTTGAGCTTCTCAATTTCTTCATTTGCTTCTTTAAGCCGCACTGCATCTTTATCCAGAAGTTCCTGATTTTCAGCATACCACTGTAACCTTTTTTGTAGCCGACTGACTTCTTGTTTATGGGTTTCTTCTAAAATTTTTATTTCATATAATTTTTCACCTAAAAGATAAAACAATATCAATAACATGATGTTAAGCTTCCAAAATATGAAAATAGACCAAAAGATTTTAAGTAAAAACCAATGCCAGGCCAGTGCAGGTGGCGTGGTGGCTAAGGTACGAACACTCCCACATGGCTGACCATAGTTCAAGTCCTGGACCTGGTGGCTTGCTTTGTCACTTACTCTCTCTGTCTCTCTGTGTCTCTCTCTGGTCAAATGAAAGTAAGTGAATGAATAAATAAAATTAAATAAATAAGTCTTCAAAAAAATAAGAAAAAAGAAAACCAATGCCTATCTAATAAAAGTATTATGAAGAAAATAAGAACCATGAAACACCTGATATATACAATGTCGTGTCTAGTTTAATCCATTAGTAAAGGAAAAAAAGCTCATGTGCTTGGAATACAAATCCTCAACCCTGTAGCCAGGTTGACTACGCAGAAATTTTGATGAATCAATTGTTTTCCCACTGACTTTCATTATCAAAGCAAACTTATTTCCATGAGGAAATAAATGCTGGACTCAGGAGATAGCGACAAGGAAGTATGCCTATAATTGCATTAAAAAGTAGCAAAGGCAAACACGCATGAGTGCTTACCATATATTTACAGCAATTTTATATGATGGGTCCTATTACTATTACTATTACTCTGTTTTATAGATGAGGAAAGCTAATGCCATTTTCTTACAAACAGCTGAGAATACATTTCTTTGTGCGTATCTTACTTTGTACGTACCTTTGTAATACTGTAGAGGAAAGATCCATACTTTGGCGAATAGGGGCCCTTCTGATTTACCTTTCTAGCCTTCCATTCTGTCTTCCTAAACTCTAATCCAAGGTATACTCACAATGCACTCATGAGGCTTACTTGAGTATTTAACCTCCATTCCTTAACTTTCAAATCTTACCATCTGTCAAGCTCAAATGACTCTTCCCTGAAATTCTTATTTAGCACCTGGTCTCTGTTCATGCTTGTTTGAAATTTTTTTCTTATTTTAAGGTTTTCTGCATTCTTTTCTGACTCCCCTTTGTTTTCCCTGGTAGGAAACATGCCATATTTATTTTTCCATTCTCTATGAAACAGTGCAGTGTTATTTGTTCATTTGGTAATTCTTGAGAGTCTACGATGCTTCAGACCCATGGATCACATAGACAGGGCCTGCTCTAGGAAGGAACAGTCTGTCTAGGGTGGCAGACATGTAAACGATTAAATGTAAAATGACAGCAGGTAGCATAGTGGTTAATGTGCTGGATTCCCATGTGGCTGATTGTGATTTGAGTTCCAGACCTGGCAGTTTGCTTTCTCTCTCTCTGTCTCTCTCTGGTGAGCACTATAGCAAATTAAAAAAATTATAATAATAAATAAAATTAAATAAATAATTCTTTCAAAACAACAAAACCCAAAATAATCCTTGATTTTCTTAGATCTTTTCAGCATTCCTATTAAAACCAACAAAATACACACACCTGGCGATAACTAACTTCGAAATGTTTCTAAGATTACAATATACTCTTGGAGTGCGATTCAGTTTCTATGACTTACATTCAAGATTAGAACAGCTCTGAGTATAGAGGTAAACTGCGTATGCTTAGTGTTTACCTGTGGCATGAGCAACCTGATCTTTGGCTTGGTCCCTCTCTTTCTTCATTTTTTCCAAGTCCACTTCAAGAGCTTGTTTGTCTTGCTTTAGTCTTTTGATTTCTTCCAATAAATTGTTTTTTTCTTTCTTGTTATTCAAAGAAATATAAAAACAAATTATTTCAGACCACAGTAAATTGTGGTATATAGTCTTTCCTTTGCCTAATCCATCCTAAACACTGCAATGAAATATTTTTCTGGATACTAGGTCTTATTTTATTATAACCGCCTCTCCCATACCGTAATCATTAATAGTTCACTCCACCGCCTCTCAGGGTCAGTTCTAATCATCTCAGCACAGCATTGAAGACCTTCAAATCTACTATCCTAAATTCTTTTATATTCTAACTGTAATGACAATTCACTAATTCTCTTGCCTGGATAGCTACAAAAACTAATTAGTCTGCTTCTTCCACCCTCATTCCCAACAGTCTATCTTCCCCACAGTAGCCAGGGGGAATTATTGTAACGAGTCAGTTATTATCACTCCTCTGTCTCAGACCCTCTGGTGGCTCCTCTCAGGGTTAACCCAAAGTATTTGCCATGACCTTCACTGTCACATAAGTCACCTTGCCTGCGACTGTGTGTCTACTGTAAATCTTCTCTCTCCCATTTTTTTTTCCACCACAGGGATCACCTTGCTACTCTTCCAACACCCCCAGCACATTCCAACCTTAAGGGATTTGAATGTACAGTTTCCTCTGCCTAACACAGGATTCTAATTTTCATGTCACAGACGCATAAATGTTTAGCATATCAGAAAAAGGAAGTTAAATGAGTTTTCATCAGACCCTATTCTCTACACTACTCTCAGTAGTTTGAAGCTCTGTGTCCCATTCCCCAATTTGACAAAAACCTTCAAATCTAAGGTCAAATGAGGCTATTCCTGATAATTCTCCCCTCTACGCTCTCCCAAACTTTTGTTGTACCTCTCCTATGACATTTACTACTTTCTATGTCAGATAACATTGATTTATATACATGCCTCTTCTCTTTATTGGGCTGAGAGCTCTCTGGGGCCAACACAGATTTACTTTATGGCACTAAGCGTGTGGCAGATATGCTCAATAAATGTACACAAAACTGAGCTCACAGCTGCTGAGGGAACTCTTGGACTCCCAGCAGCATAGAGGTATAGTTATGTTTCAAAATAACAAATTCTTACAAATTTTGTATTATTCTACCATACAATTTGAAATTCAGTCTTATAAAGAAAATAAATCCTTTCTTGGAGCATTGTATAATCTTGGTTTCTTGCTGCAATGCACCTTCATCTGTATCATTTTGCTGTTTAATCTTCGAGGTGATCTTCAGCAGGTGTCTTTTCAGGAGAGGTGTCTATGTATCAATATTCTATACAGACACAGACACAGGCATCTAAAACAAGTTCCCTAATGAACTCATATGTGAGGATGCCTTTTATAACCTACAAAAACCTAAACGTCAGCTGTTAAACTATGGTATGTATAGATTCCTAGTGGCAGAGTGGTTTTCATTATTATGATTGGTGGGTTCTATAAGCATATAATTTCTGGGGACAGGAATAATAAAAATTATGCAATGCACAAACTACTTCTGTTAAAATAGAACTAACCTGTCCCAAATTGCAAAACTTCTCCCATAGATAATAAATACTGCTTTAGAAAATTCTAGACCATATTCTTTATTTTTTTTTTGGAATGTTTATTTTATTCACGAGAGGGTGAGAAAACAGTAACTTCAACAGGGCCTTATCACGCCACAACCCCCCTTCCCTGGCCATTCGGGTGGTCAGGATCTTGAACATAACCACCCCAAAGGTCAATGTTTTCAGGTTGACTTGGGATCTGAACTTACAGCTGGTCACAAGGCTGCCTGCGGTTTAGTATGTTACCACTGGCACCACTAAGGCTGGGCCAGGTCATATTCCTATAATGTAATTTAATAACAATAAGGAAAACAGTTATGGAACAGCCTTGCATCTCACCTTTGTGTTAGGTATCTGGGATACAAACGTGTAAGATATAGTCTGTGCTCTTTGAAAGTGCACAGTATACTTCAGAAGACTGTGGCGAGCACTGCATATGGAAGCCATTTTGAGCTATTTGCCATTTTGAAACCATTAGGCTTTACTTTTTTATTGAGCAAATTGTTTTTTAGAAATTATGTGACTGTTTTCTCCGTCCGGAAGTGGTTGGGTTTTTAGGCAATAGGAGAGATTTACTCACATTAATGATTGGTTTATGCTGTTTTATTTTATTTGCATTTTGGGCAACTAATTGGTTTTTATTAGCTGTATATAACTCGCCATATTTTTTTCTTCTTCCGTCTACTTCCGTTTATTCCAGAAAAATTGCAAGGTATATACAGCTGGTAAAAACCAATTAGTATTAAATTTTCAGAGAAAGAAAGGGGAGAGAGGGAAAGCAAGAAAGTTCCTCCCACAGGGAATGGTCATGTTGCAATCCCTTCTCCATCTTTACCTCTTTTTGGGATTTTTGGCACATATACACACATGCCTTGTATGCTTTTTAAGCTGCCAGGTCTGGGACTTGAACTGTGCTAGCTGTTCATTTGTGATCCAGTTGCCTTAACCAACACACCAGAGGCTGGCCTTCAAGTAACTTTTTTTTTTTTTTAAGAATTATTTTATTTAATTTTATTTATCCCCTTATTTATTTATTTTTTTAATTTGACCAGAGAGGGGCAGAGTGAGAATGAGAGAGAGAGAGAGAGAGAGAAGCAAGAAAGCAAGCTACCAGGTCTTGGGACTTGAACTGTGGTTGGTCATGTGGGATTCCAGCGTCCTCAATCACCACGCCACCTGCTGGCCCCTTTAATTAACTTTTTAACATGAACAATCACCTCCAGATTATTTTCTTACTTCAGCTGTATACTTTTAAATGAGGAATCTATTTGAAATACGGTACACATGTCCTAAATAATTTATTCCTTGAAGACTAAACTCTGGTCACTTTTCTTTGTTCTAAAATTTTCTTCTGAGGGGCTAAGGCAGAGTCAGATACCTTCAGTCTTACTGAACAATTCACTTCACTTCAGTGATTGCAGCTTATTTTCCCTGTCCAGATGCAAGAGGATTAGTCAACTCCCTTATCTTGTTAAAGCTTAAACATTCCTTTTTGCTGGCACACAATTTTAAACAAAGACTCGCTCTTTTAGCCAATAACAAATTAAAGAAACTCTGAATCCACCTATGATCCCACATCAAGAAATGCCAATTTGGGGGTGCCAAATTAATCAATTACCTCCATGGACAGACTTACAACTCTGTAGTATGTAGATCTGCTCTCCCGGAATATATAAAATAGTTGCTATAACATGACTATGTTGGAGTTCTTTCTCAAAGCTTCTTCAGTTTGCGTTTTTTTTTTCTTTCCACATCACAGTCACTCATTCTGGCTTAGAATAGACCTCTTCCAATATTTTACATGGTTTGTTTTTTATCCCATGAACAAGATCTAATATGAGTCCATTTGATAAATGCCTGAAGATAGGTTGGAAATGGGGGATACCATCTAAAGCCAGGACTTTGCCATCTCTGCCATATTAAGGTCACACAAACACTAAATGCTAAATCTTAACCTTTCTTCCTTATTTTCAAATAGTACAACATTTATACATCTCTCACTTATAATTAGAAAGATGGATTTTTAACTCTCATATGGGGATTCTTCTACTAATCTTCACTAGTATCCCTAATATTTAAAATCTTTATACAACTTACCTGTGCCATCCGTAGTTCTGCTAAGAGATCTGTAAAACTCTGGTTTCTGGTGGGCTCTGACTCTTCAACTACTTGAGACAGGAAATGACGTCTGTGCATCTGTTCTCTGATTTATTTTCAAAATAAAAGTTTTTAATAAGGTACTGTGCTATGGTTTGAACATGTCCCCCCAAATTCATGTGTTGGAATTTGGTTGTATTATGAAGGTATTAAGGAAAGGAAACATACTCTGATTATAGGGTCGAAAGGTGGACCTTAGAAGTGATTAGGCAACAGGGTGTGTCCCTCATGATTGAGTGCTGGTGGGCTCATAAGGAGGGAGAATGAGACAGACAGTCTGCTTTGTGCATGGCCCGCCCTCTGCTTTGTTGTATTACAAGACCCTCACCAGATGCCAGCACCATGCTTTTGGGTTCTCAGCTTCTAAAACCATGAGCTAAATAAACCTCTGTTCTCCTAAATGATGTAATCTCAGGTAGCTGCTACTAAGAAAAAAATGGACTAGAACATAATCCTTTCAGTACATTTTTAAGTTCTCAAAAATTAAAAACTTACGAACATTGGAACTATATAAATCACTGAAAGCAAAAATTTTATTTACTCTAAAGATTGAAATACTACCATACTGAAAGAAAAGCATACTTTAAGGAAAATGCTTGTATTTTATCTAAAAAAAAAATTAGATCCTGAAATTACTGGTTTATGTATAACATAAAAATATTCTTCTCAGTTCTGAGAGAAAAAAAAATCAATGGCCCAGAAAGATATGTTGCATTTTCACTGTCACGTCATTATCTAGACTCTTTTCTGAGAAACACAAATTGCCAATCTTACACAAAAGAAGCAAAACCAGTCTACTATTTTTCTGTTTTCCAGAGAAAATGCCTCCTCCTCCCTTCCCCAATCTGCTTCTCCTGCTTCTATCTCCTAAGAGTTATTCCTTCACCAGGATCCTCATCTCAGGTTCGGCTTCAATAGAACCTGACCTAAAACAAAAACTGATTATTTGACCATTTTTCTTCATTTAGTATTACTAATCAGAGTTCCTAGGAAATGGTTACATATCTCAGATAGAATGACCAATCAAGATGAACAATGTTATTCAAGGTGAATAATTAATGTTATTCATATAATGTTATTCAAGATGTTATTATTCAAGGTGAATAATAACCAGGTGTTTCTGAAAGTTGTTAGGACAAGGCAGAGCTGCATACAGACCCAGTTCAATTTCCTGAAACTGATGTCAAACTCAAATATGAATATGCTGAAAATACTAAAGTATGTAGTAGTCATCTAAGACCAAAAGAAATATCTGTTACCTGTTAAATACTGTATATAAAAGTTATTAAACTGGAAATCAGTATACAAAAAAGATAAATGAATGTAAAAGTAAGTACATTTTTATTATTTTTAAGTAAACTAAATATTACTATAATAATAAAAATCCTTAGATAGTCTCTGTATATTGATTTTAAAAATTTCAAAAGGACTTACTTTAAGGTAGCTAACTCACTGATTAAATTCTGATTTTCCTTAAACATTCTTTCCTCGTTTTTCTTGTTTTGTTCTTGGAGATCTTTCACTTGATTGTATAATCTTTCATTTTCCTTTATAGAAGTAGACAATTGATATTTAGTCAAAAGTTGGCAGTATTTGGGACCAGCAGTTAGCGTAATGGCTATGTCGCTGAACTCCCATGTACTCAACTGGGTTTGAGTCCCAGACCCAGGGGCTTAAACTCACGCCGGGCATGTGTGCTGTGTGCCCAAGATCCCGAGAAGAGAATGGAGGAGAAGGAATTGCGGTGCGGCCATCCCCCCTTGGGGGTGATTTCTCGCTTTCTGACTCTCTGTCTCTCTGTCTGTCTAGCGAGTGCACGGACCCTATAGCTAAAACCTCTTCCCCCCCACCCCCCCAAAAAAAGTTGGCAGTAGTTATAATATATATGCTTGCAATAGATAAATCCTTTAAACATTTTTAAGCTCTTTTACATTTATTCAGTTTTTGAGTATGCTAAATCTTTTCCAATATTCATACATTATCTCAGAAGGAAACTGGGTAGCTAAAAACAATTCCTTCCAAAATAAATAAAATGTCTACAGGTTTAAAAAAAAAATTGCAAAAATTCCCAAAGTCCAAGAACCTAGTGTCAGTATAAGGTACTGCATTTTAGGAGTAATGAGAGAGGTTGCAGAAATCCCCACATCCAAACTACGTGGACCAGGGTTGAAAAGGCCCAGTGAATCTCTTTACATGTTCTTCAGTTATTGGCCTGAGAGAGAAAAAAATACCACTGCTAAAGGAAGAGTCTAGAAGCCTGGTTTCTAGTGGTAAAATAAGTAGATGTAGCCACAATGGGTTTTCGTGCGTATGTATTAGAGTGACTGTAAGCAAGAAGTTAAAGACCAGGTATTTCCGAAAGTTGTTAAGGCAGAGCTGAGAACACACCCAGTTCCACATGGAGTTTGAGCTAGAGTGTGTCAAATAAGTTGAGATTAGAGGGAGAAGAGAAGAAACCAATCTGCACTTAGATGCTCTGGCTTATTAATCTCTTTAAAATTAAAAATTTGATGAAACCAAGAGCTTTCAAGGAACAAATGAAAATTATGAACTATATCACCATATCTGGAAAAGTGCCTGGCAGGAAGTCTGTGCCTAAATACCTTCAGAATGAATACTCTCCCCTAAAATAATTAGATACATAGGTTAGAGTGTTTATGGGTTTGTGAAATCTCCTTAAAAATCTCTACTCTGGGCCAGCTTCATAGCATGATGGTAATGTGCTGCTCAAGAGAAGCCAGACCCCACATGGAAGCCATGGTTCAAGTCCCTGACCTGGTCAGCCTAAGACACACTGGACATGCATGCCAATGCTCAGAATCCAGTGTGCAGGAGGTCTGAAGCAAGGGGATTGTGGGATGACTAGATCACATAGTGGGTGCTTACCTCTCATTCTTCCTCTATCATGAATAAAGACAGAAAAAAAAAAACCCAAAAACCAACAACAGACAAACTTCACAGAAATGAAAAACTACTCTATATGTCAAGATCGGTCTGGCAGGAAAAGAGTTTGAACATTCTTACTAACTCCAATGCTCAAGGGCAGTGTGTCCTGCAAAATCAGTCTATTTCATTTAGTGCAAATGCTGTAATCATTGATGTGACAGTGCTTTTTCTGGATGTCCCTGCGGGACAATGCATGTTACCAGCTGGCTCAACGCCCAGGCTCTAGTTGTCAAAGGAGAAGAATGTAATGCGAAGGAGGAAAGAGGAGTAAGGAAAGGTGGGCAGGAGAAAGGGAGTGAAGGTAAAGTCTTAAGCTGGAGATCACTCCACCTGTTCTGCCTGACGATCTGACCAGCATCACCAAGATTCTATCACATGTTAAAAATATCTACCTCTACAGGAACACAGATCTTACATTAAATTAAAAAATGTTCTACTCTTAGGGTATTAGCAACTGACTTCAGATTCATTTTCTGAGAATAAGAGCAAAACTAGCCAATATTATTTACTGAAAATCACTACTCAAAACTACAGAAAAATAAGACAGTTTCTAAGGCACAGAACTATGAATAATAATAGGCAACATTCACTGATTGGCTAGTACGCACCAGGCTAAGAGAATACTTGCTGAGAGGTTGGTTTGTGCTATATATTTTTTCCCTGTTATTTACTTTTTCCATGAAAGAGATGAGAAATAGAAAAAGTACAAAAGAGAGAGAGTATGTATGCATGCACATCCCCAAAAAAGTCTTGATACTACGACCCAGTCTCAGCCTCAGCCACCCCCAGATCACAGGCACACATGTGCCTAGTATACTCCAGGTCTCTGGACATGAGCTCTGAACCTTTCCACGTGGGTGGGTCTCACAGAACATCCCGACTCTGTTTTTTATTTATTTATTTTTCCCAAGAATTATTCATTTAATTTTATTTATTATTTTTAATTTGCTACAGGGCAGACATGCTCACCAGAGAGAGAGAGAGAGAGAGAAAGTGAGAAAGCAAGATGCCAGGTCCAGGACTCAAACCATGGTTGGCCATGTGGGAGCCCAACACCTTAACCACCATGCCACCTGCTGGTCCCTCTGTCTTATTTTTAATTTCACAGTCACCTTATGAGGGGAGTATCCTCATTTCACAGATGACTAACTGGCTTAGAGAGGGAAGTGATGTGGCCTTAGGCTGCATAGCAGGTGGTAGAGCTATGATGTAGAACCAGATTCTTTCAGTTCAGACCCCGTGTAATTCTTAGCCACTTTAAATCTGCCCATGAGAAATGTTCACATTAGTCAAATTATTACTTCCTCTTATTTGTCAGAATTCCCTTGCCTGTTAAACGAACACAAAGAAACTTTAACATGCTTTATTTTCACAATGAAGGAATCATGAGCAAACTTGCCATGTGCAGAAGAATTCTCATACCTGTTGGTATCCTTGAAGAAGCGTCTCTTGTTCTTGTATTTCTTTTTGGATTTGCTTCAATTTTTCTTCAGTAACAGGATCAGCTGTTTCTCCAAAATGTAACCACTTTTGTTTTTTATTTGCTTCTTCAAAGCTACTTAACTGTGAGAAAAAGCAGAGATTATTTTATTAGGGGAAGAAAAGAAGTGAGAAGTGAGGAAGAAAACAGAAAGCTCTAAATGCTTAGACCCAAACTGCCTTATAATATTGACCTCACTGGACTGTGACCTAATTACAGTTAAATCTGCACAGTGATGATGTTTTGTATTGATGGTTCTCTTGAGCGAAGTAACTCAGAAATGCTACACAATGACATTCTCTTGAGTCTAGACCTTCTACAGCAGTTGTTGCTGAAACTTGGATTTCTTTAAAAATAAACTGATTTGCTTTTAAGAGGATGGCTTACAGAAGAAAACAATCAGAATAGGACAATTCAAATTTGGATCTCCATCCCAGTTCCAGGGAGGGTTCACTTTAGGCTCTAAGAAGGCACTTACCCTGAACCATGTCTGTATTTTATACAGCAAATATGGTGAGTCAAACAGCTCCAGGAACCAAGGATGACAATTCATTTAGTGAAGAGCACAGGTCTGGCTTTTTTTTTTTTTTTTTTAATTTAATAAATAAGAGGAACAATAGAACAATGTATCTAGTACCTTGGCTTGAAGAATGTAATTGTCCTGATTCAATTTGAAGAGCTCCTTTTCCTGTTGTCTCTTTAGTTCTTCCAACTTATTTTCTAGCTCTCTCTCTTTTTCTGAGAATGTGATTTTAATTTGCTCAATCAGGGCTTGCGCACCCTTCCATTTCTCCTCTGCTTCCTGAACTCTCTTAAACATAAATAGTTCTTTCTCTTTGTTCCCACCAGGGTATCCTGAAGAATCCTTTCAAGGAAAACATTACTTCATTAAAGTAGATTTTACATATTAAATTCAAACACAGGTCATTAGGGATAAACAAAACAAAACACACAAAGGATAAATATGACAACAGGTTAATAACGTTCTAATACATAAGAAAAACAATAAATATTCACTGAGAGTAATTAAGATATCACTCTTAAAGGAAAAGAATCATGTGTTTATTATATTTATTATTTATAATTTTAGTATGACTTTACCACATAAACACAATATAGATATTAATTTGAAATTTAATACCTACAATCTGAAATTGAACACAGGAATCAGTTTCCGTAGGATCTTCAGCATTCTTAGGAATAGTCGGGGAAATTTTATTTCTGAGAGCTGGTTTATCCAAAGCTGGAGCAGGCCTGATGAGTTTTGTTCCAGATAAGATTTCTAAATATTATAAACAATGATAAAAGTATCACAAATGCAAAGTTGAATGTGTGTTCAGAAATCATGTAACAATAAGATGAATACAATGGAAGCTAGCAGATAAAATGAGGATTTCAAAACAGGCTGATATACAGTACTAAAACACAGCTGTTTCACTGTGCTAATTGACTGCACTCAGCATTGCCATCCATAATCAACACACTTCTCTATTTGTCACAGATGGCTAATTGACCCAAGACTCATGTCAAAGGACAATGGAACTAAATAAATATGAGGAGAATGTGGATTAGAATAATTTCGGTATGTATTACTTTTTTTTTTTTTGAGAGGTTTTTGCTATAGGGCACGTGTGCTTGCCAGAAAGACAGAGAGAGACAGAGACAGAAAGCAAGAAATCCCCCCCAGGGGGGATGGTCATGCCGCAATCCCTTCTCCTCCATTCTCCTCTCGGGACCTTGGACATGCACGCACATGCACCTGGCATGAGTTTAAGACACTGGATCCAGTACATGAACCATGGTCGACTACATGGAGTCCAGCGACATAGCCATTACGCTAATTACAAATTCCAGTCTGTATTACTTTTAAACACATTAGTCCTTTAAATGTTCACAGCAATAATATTTCTAAATGACAAATCAAAGAGCATGTGATAACTTTTCGAAACATTTTGGTTCATATTAAGTGTGCTTTATAAATGATGTATATCAAGATATTATATTGGGACCAGCAGTTGTTGCAATGGCTATGTCGCCATAGGTGCTATCTATAACCCATACCTCCCTCTTGAACTCCATTTATCTCTAACTGCGACACGAACCGCGGTCGACTACGGGGGAATCCAGCGACATAGCCATTACGCTAACTGCTGGTTCCCTTAGTATGACTTTACAACATAAACACAATATAGATATTAATTTGAAATTTAATACCTACAATCTGAAATTGAACACAGGAATCAGTTTCCGTAGGATCTTCAGCATTCTTAGGAATAGTCGGGGAAATTTTATTTCTGAGAGCTGGTTTATCCAAAGCTGGAGCAGGCCTGATGAGTTTTGTTCCAGATAAGATTTCTAAATATTATAAACAATGATAAAAGTATCACAAATGCAAAGTTGAATGTGTGTTCAGAAATCATGTAACAATAAGATGAATACAATGGAAGCTAGCAGATAAAATGAGGATTTCAAAACAGGCTGATATACAGTACTAAAACACAGCTGTTTCACTGTGCTAATTGACTGCACTCAGCATTGCCATCCATAATCAACACACTTCTCTATTTGTCACAGATGGCTAATTGACCCAAGACTCATGTCAAAGGACAATGGAACTAAATAAATATGAGGAGAATGTGGATTAGAATAATTTCGGTATGTATTACTTTTTTTTTTTTTGAGAGGTTTTTGCTATAGGGCACGTGTGCTTGCCAGAAAGACAGAGAGAGACAGAGACAGAAAGCAAGAAATCCCCCCCAGGGGGGATGGTCATGCCGCAATCCCTTCTCCTCCATTCTCCTCTCGGGACCTTGGACATGCACGCACATGCACCTGGCATGAGTTTAAGACACTGGATCCAGTACATGAACCATGGTCGACTACATGGAGTCCAGCGACATAGCCATTACGCTAATTACAAATTCCAGTCTGTATTACTTTTAAACACATTAGTCCTTTAAATGTTCACAGCAATAATATTTCTAAATGACAAATCAAAGAGCATGTGATAACTTTTCGAAACATTTTGGTTCATATTAAGTGTGCTTTATAAATGATGTATATCAAGATATTATATTGGGACCAGCAGTTGTTGCAATGGCTATGTCGCCATAGGTGCTATCTATAACCCATACCTCCCTCTTGAACTCCATTTATCTCTAACTGCCTCCTTGTCACTTCCTGCTCAGCCTAACTAGTATGTTGAACAGACATCTCACAAACAGAACTCAAGTCTTTCCTCCACTCCAGATCTATTATTCTACCACCGCTTTCCCTATCCTAACTGACAGTAACTCCATTCGTTCAGTTGCTTGAGCCAAAAACTTTAGCAACCCCAAAACCAACTCTTCAGATCGTTGGTTCCACCTTCTAAATCTATTCTTATCCAGCCACTTTTCATTATCTCCACTGCCACCACCCTGGGTTAAGTCCTGTCAATTGTGACTTTCAGAAAAGGAATGTAGCACCTTAAGATTAATTCTCTTCCATGTACAGAATTTTATTATGAAGAATATACAATTACCTTTTTTCCTAGTTTGATTTGAGGTGGGAATGGATCTCAAGTTTTTGCTTTTCATATTATCCTTCGAAGATTTCTTTTCAAGAGTAGAAAATATCTTGAGTGGTGAGCTGGGTTTTCCATAGCCTGAGCTCCTAACTGATGCATATAACGTGCTCTGGGGTTTTCTTTTGATTAAAGGAGGTGCACTTCGGGCCTTCTTGTATGGTACTTGTTGACCAGGTGTAGCCCCTTCTTCTCCAGAACTGAATTGAGATCTAAAGGCCTGTACACAATAAGCACAAACTGTTTAGTACCTAAATGAACTTCAACTATTGCTGTGATTTAGCAGATAGCAAAACAATAGTGATTATCAAATACTGTGGTCTGTAAAAGGCAAACTGCTGGGGTCAGCAGGTGGTGTAGTGTTTAAGGTGCTGGACTCCCATGTGATCAACTGTGGTTCGAGTCCTGGATCTGGGGGCTTGAAAGCTTTATGTGAGGCATGTGTGCATGCATGCTCAAAGTCTCGGGGGGAGAATGGATGAGAAGGGACTGTGGCATGGCCATCCCCCTGGGGGATGATCTCTCACTTTTTGTCTCTCTGGCGAGTACATGCACTCTATAGCAAAAATCTCTTTAAAAAAAAAGGCAAACTACTTAAGTTCTCTAAGTTTAGTTCATCAGAATTTTCGTATTTTCAAGCACACCTTCAAAGTTAGCATTAAAAAACAGTGAAACAAAATCGTAAAGCAAAATAAGCTTACCAAAAAGCAAGACACGTAATTACTAGAATGCAAATGAAGGAAAGAAGGAAGAATGTATTTTGAAATGACATAAAATTAATTGTCAATACTCTTCCTTCTCCTGCAAAGAACTGGAGTTGACTCTCAGTAGCACATAATTCAAAATTATAAAATGCAAACAGGATATTGGGAATACGGAAATGCTAAAGTAGGAGAGATCAAGAATAGAGAAGGCCAGCCATTGGCACAGTGATTAGGGTTGTTGGATCCCACATGGCGAACAGCATGGTTAGACTCCTGGACGCAGTGGCTTGAAAAAAACACACTGGACATGTGTATGTACAAGCTAAAAATCGCAAAAGAAATGGAGGAGAAGGGATTATAGTAGGACCATCCCACATAGAACGTGCTTTCTCACTTTCTTTCTTCCACCCTCTGACAAGTGCACGTGCCCTATTTTAAGAGATAAAAAGGGGAGAACAAAAAATGGTGAAGTACAAGTTTCTTCACAGTTCCTAATAACATTCCTATAAAATAGCAAATTAGCTATAATGCAAATGACTAGAAAGATTCAACAATGAGCACTACAATGATGATTAAGCCTTATTTTCTTATATTATCCAATTTCTGAATGTTGTTTACTAAAAACATAAAAGAGGGAGAAGAAAAAAGAAAAAAGTACAGATTGGTTTCTCGAAGGTTAATGTTAGAGTGGTATTTTAAAATCTGGGCTATGGATATTGTTGCAACAAATATCAACAACTGATATCCAGGATCTACTGTGGAGGTTAGCACATAGTCGCTCCCACTAGTTTAAAAATCATATACTTAACAATAGCATATGTGTGTGTGTGGTGTATATATTTTTATTTTGTTATAAGGGCATGTGTGCTTGCTAGAGAGACAGAGATAGGGAGAGGAAGAGAAAGTGAGAAAGCCCCCCCCCCCCAAGGAGATGGCCATGCAGCAATCCCTTCGTCTTCATTCTCCTCTCAAGATTTTGGGCATGCATGCATATGTGCCTGGCATGTTTTTCAAGCTGCTTGCACCAGGACTCAAAACACGCAGTTGGCCATGTGGGATCCAGCTGCCTTAACCACAGGGCCACCAGCTGGTCCCCAAAATACATATATTTTTATAGAACTGTTTTTCAATATATCAAATAAATTTAGATGATTAATACTCACTTTATTAACTTTGTCATCCTGAGATAATGATGAAGAATTAACAGATATTTTTTTCCTCAAAACATCAAGGTACGTTTTATCAATGTGTTCTTCTGTTGCAGTTACTCTTGGACAGCTATCTTCCACACCATCATCTGTTGTGTTTTCTAAGATCATATTCTCATCATTTTTGCCAGAAATCTGGTTAACATGTTGTGGGTCTTGAGATACTACATTTGGGCTCATCTTAGGAAGTAAGGGGTTAACAAATTCAGTTGCTTTATTTTCGGCCACTTTCCGAGAGCTATAAAACAAAACAGGACACAGAGAATAATCCCTTTATAAAGTGACTCAAGAATCATTTACACACAGACATACAGACACAGCACATATAAGAGTTCTGACTTTTCAAATTAAGTTACTAATGTTAAATACATTACTTGCAGTTATGGTTAATAGACAATCTTCCCATAGTATCATAGTTGCTTTAAATTTCAGGTAATAATTTTTCTTTTGAGAGGTTTTTGTCATAGGGCATGTGTGCTCATCAGAGACACAGATAGAGACAGACAGACAGAAAATGAGAAATCATCCCCCAGGGGGGATGGCCACACCACAATCCCTTCTGCTTCATTTCCTCTCAGGATTTTGGGCATGCACATACATGCACCTGGTGTTAAGTTTCAAGCCACTAGGTCTGGGATCTGAACTGCAGTGGGCTATGTGGGAGTCCAGTGCTTCAACCTATATGCCACCTGCTGGCATCCCAGGTAATAACTTTAATGCAGTATAATACAAAATGTTACATAGGTGACTCTAAAACCTACTTTAAAGAAGGCCAAACCAAACAAGACTGTTATTGCTTTTGCATAAGAAAAAAAAAACATAAACTTCTAAACAAATTTTTTACAACATATGTAGCTTTTATCTCAAAAAACACGACTGTTATTGCTTTTGCATAAGAAAAAAAAACATAAACTTCTAAATGAATTTTTTACAACATATGTATCTTTTATCTCAAAATGCATCTGAGACAGGAAAAACATTTTACATATTTCTAGAAGGATTAAAGAATTACAATGTATGCCAAGGAGATATAGAGAAATTCTAAAAAACATAAATTTATAGTATACAAATATTTTTAAAGTAAAATAAAATCACTGGTAGGATTTTAAAATAAAACCCTTTCCATGATCAAAAATACTTAAATACAATTACTAATTCAGACAATTAGATATTAAAAATCTTAAAAATACCTTAAGGAAATGTTCTAAATGTGGTATAGGGGCTCCAAAAATATAGAAATTTTTATACTTAAAATTTTTAATCATGGTCACTCATTTAATTTCATAATTAATAAAGATGAAAGAAACCTTTAAGAGGCCTCCATTTTCACATTATGTAGATTGGTTTTCCAATAACTGTTAGAAGCTTCTAAAGTAGGTGGAATCATCAGAAAATATAACAGTTCTTTGCTCTTTCACAGGAGCAGAAACTGGCCAGATGCTAATAAAAATTTTCGCATTCTTGTGTGATTTTCTTTATTGATGACAGAGCACATGCACTTGACAGTGGGGGGCTTGTAGGGAAGCACCTCCATAAAGCCTGGTCGTCTTACAATCCTCTCCCTCTAGTCTGTTGTATTGTGGGCACTTGTGTGCATGCCCGGTGTGTTTAAGGTTGACCAGGCTGGGAATCAAACCACAAATACCATGCAGGATCTGGTTCTCTTGAATAATGCATTACCACTGCACCACGCAGCTGGCCTCCTAGAACTTTTCTCTTTCTTGTTGGGTACGAACTACCACCTTGTATCTAGAGGAGTCATTTACTAGTCTCTAGAATATGAGTGCTGTGATGACAAGAACCCAAAATATGTAGCTTAGTGTTCAGTATAGAGTGGCACGAAATTGATAACTAGAAGTTGGAAAGTTAATGACCTATGTTCTATAGTGGCAAAACATTAGGTATGGTAGATTTATAATAGACAGAGCATATGCTTGGTGAGCCCAGAGAACTAAGAGAAATAGCTGGAGAGAACAGAGTTATTAAATGCTGGCTGCTAATGGCTGCTTTTGATAAGGTATTACACAAAAACATGAGCTGAAGACAGAATGAGCTGGTTTGTAAACAGAACTGATAAAGAATGGAGTCTAGAAATTCAGGGTTTCTTGAGTTCATTCTGTATCTAGACATTAACAGTCATATTTGACATTGAAAAATACTATGAGAAAGCAAGATTTCATGAAACTTTTCTCAGCTGAAAGAGTGACTCAGTACTTTGGCAAAAATCACAATCTCATCTTCATACTTAAGGTTATTGTTCCCCAAAATATCCAGTCAGCTGCAAATAGAGGAAAAACAAAAAGCCAGAGAGACAAGGAACCAATAACATTAATCATATCTAAAATCTCTGTATGGCAAAGAACTGTTTTGTTATTATTGGCACACAGAACTGCTTGGAACCAAGGGATCAGAAGGCTACCAAACTTTCTGAAGAATATGCCAAAGAAAGAAAAAACAATTCTATAAAAAAAAAAAAGGAAATGGAAAAAGAAAAAGCCAACAACTAGGGCCTTACAACTACCTGTAGGCAGGAAGTGGACTGAGGAAGAAGTGTATCCCTCAAGATGGTTGTATCCTCCCCACAAAATCCACTTTGGGGTCAATGGTGGTAACATACAAGGGGACTAAGAAAGCTGGTTGAAAACGGAATTAAAGTGTTTACTAAATGGAATTAAAGTATTTATTTGAAACTCATGCAGTTATTTTGGTGATGCACATTTTCTGTGAAGTTTCTGAAGACTCCTCAAACTGTGATATTATGATATATGTTGCGTGTATACTACATACACATGTGTGTACATATATTATTTTCTGTCCATTGCTCCTGACTTATAACTATTTAGCCTTTTGTCCTTGGTTCTGAAGCTTCTCAAGGCAGGCCATAGAACTGATCATAAAGAAATTAAGATCCATCTGCATTCCAGAAGGGTCCTGCCCATAAAGGAGAAAGAAATGCCACAGAAGGGCCAAAAAGAACCTGGAGAAGCCTTGCTGGGTGTCCCCACTCAGTTTATTAGCATTAGTCAGAATTCCCTTTTGACTAATCACATTTCCACATGGTTGTCCATGCTTCCATCACGGCTATGCCATGACGTAGTCTCCATAAAAATCCCAAAAGGACAGGGTTTGTAGAACTTCTGGACAGTTGAACACATGGAGGCTTGCAGGAAGGACTTATCCTTGTGCTGGGAAGGTGGTACACCTCAACTACATGGGGATAAAGCCTGCAAGTGGGACCCCTTCTAGACTTTGTCATACATATGTCTTCATCTGGCTGTTAATTTGTATCCTTTAAAATATCCTTTACAATAAGCTGGTAAATGTAAGTATATTCCTGAGTCCTATAAGCCACTCAACAAAATTAATCAAACCCTAAGAAAGGATCTTGGGGATCACCCCCCAACTTGTAATTGGTTCATCAGATGTTCTGGAGGCCTGAAATTACAACTGATGTCTGAAATAGGAATAGTCACGTGGGACTGAGCCTTTAACCTGAGACCTGATGCTAGCTACTTAGAGATAGCCTCAGAACTGATTAGATTAGAGGTCACCCTGCTGGTATCTGTTGTATAACTGACCACTTTCTTGCTGGTGAGGGAAAATCCCTCATGTTTTGGGGTCACAGAGTGATCTGTGTTGTCAGTTTATGATGGGTGTCAAAAAGTTCATGGAAAATGTATATTATGAAAAAAGTATGCATGGACTTTACATTTTTTAAATACCAAAACAAATTCATACTTTTATTCCATTTTTCTGTGAACTTTTGAAGTCCCCTCCTATAGAAGGAGCAGTTGAGTTTGTTTTTCTTATTTAGACATACAAGTACAAAGCAAATCCTCCAAGGCATGGAATCAAGGGCTGCACAGAACAATATATTTCTAAGATAGTTTCTTCCTTAGGAGCAGAATAATGGCCTAATCAAGGAAAATGTCTTCACAAAGTATTTCCAAAGGCTTTCAAAGTTGCCACAGATTGTTATACTCCCCTCATAATTTTTCTTTCTGAATGGGGGTATCTATTGTAGTTCCACTATTACATATTGTGTGAGGGTGAGGAAGAACATAACTTTTTAATTCATCCATTGGCAGACAAGGGGGAGCCACACCAAACTTAATAGAGAGGACCCTGTGTTGTATGGAAATCCGAGGCCTCTAGGACCCAGTTAGCTAGATGGGCTCATAATAAATGTGAGCTGAAGTGATGCGACACTTCTGCGTTGGGGCAGTAAAAGAATACTTAAAAATATACTAAGTTGTTCTCTCCACAATACATGAACACCTTAAAATGATCTGCTGATGACAGAAGCAGCTTGGATCCCTAAATGTGTGAAGCAGAGCTCTAATCCGACTCCACTGACCCACATGTGATGATGAGCAAGAAATAAATTTTTGATGATGTTTAGCTACTAGGATTTCAAGCATTATAGTATAGCAGGTAAGATTATTTACCCTGAAACTTACTAAAGGTTTTTCAGAAATGTGTTCTGAAGATATATTACTGACATTACTATAATTACTGACTTTAATGTAAATGTACTTGTTTCCAGCTTTTAGACACAAATATAAAAATGTATGTTTTAGAATTCATATTCGGAAATGGTTTCTACCTTTAAGAACAAAAACTTATGTAAGAAAATCTCTTCAGTAACACTAACATACTCCTAATAGCAATGATGAGTTAGCCCAATATCCCCTTTAAAAATTCTAACTAGCACTACATATCAGTTGAAGAATACTAGACTTAGCACTCAGGTGTAAGTTGATTTCAGTGTAAGCTTGAAGCTTTGAAAGCCTCATTTTCTTTCAACTAGCACAAATGCAGAAATAAGGCCAATAAGTCAAGGCAAGTGAATTTATATGATGAAGATGTAGCATAAGAAGGGACTCTAAATAGGTCTATTAAAAATACATATTGACAGATGATCAGATGAATGGATAATATGCTATTTCATATAAATATTTTATGGAGATCAAAGAGCTGACAAAGAAGTGGTTTAGTCCATAGGCTGCCTATATTTCTTGGCTACAGTCATATGAGCTTGGCAATGACTTTACTCATTTTAACCTTTTAAACCTCAGTTTTCCCGTTGATAAAATAGGGATAATAATGGGCCATACCTCATAGAGTTGTTTGGTTAACTGAAATAATATATGTAAAGAACTCTGCACGGGACCTACCCATAGTAAACAAAAAAGTTAGCTGTTATCATCATCATCTGATTCTTGTGACATTTCCAGCATAAACTAGGTTTACTTTCTTCATCACTTGAATGATGGGGATATAAAGATGTCTGTCCTACCCGTGATAAATATCACGTGAGATACTGGATATGACATTATAAGTGCTACATGAATGCAAAGCTGTCTTATGACGAGGTTATTAGGATGTGCTATCCTGAACACGGAAGAATGACAGTGGGTTACACATACTTCCTCTAAATTGTATTGGAGCTGGAGGATTTTCATGACACTCATTTGTCTGTGACCACAGAATTCACCCTGTGAGACAATGGGCAGTCTATCACTAGTTGAAACTAACCAGTTTATAAAGGAGCAAATCTATAACTAATATACAGAATCGAATTCACTTTCCTGGGGCCAGCAGATGATTTGGTGATTAAGGTACTGGATTCGCACATGGCATAATCACAATTTGAATCCTGGACCTGGTGGCTTGAAAATCATGCTAAGTGCATGTACATGCACGCCCAAAAACCCAAGAGGAGAATGGAGAAGAAGGGACTGACGCCATTCCCCTAGGGGATGATTTCTTAATTTCCTTCACTCAGTCTCTTTCTCTCTCCAAGGAGCACATACACCCTATGGCAAAAATCTAAAAAGAAAAAAAATTAACTTTCTCCCTCATCATGAATCAAATGTCCCTGCACATTTGCTGAATATTAATTGAGAGAGGACAAATATAAAAAGGAGAGCACAGTGACTAGCAAGTAAGACTCATAGACTGTATATTAGCCACTAATCATTCATTAGGAATGATTACACAGAGCAAATCATTGTAAAAGTTACCAGTGACAAAACTATAAACAATTAAACAAAACCTCAATCAACCAATCCACTAGCACAATACATTCCAAAACATTCATACCTGACAGGCTGTAAATCAAAACCAATGACCCCAAAGGAATCTATTCTGATAGGTTTCATGAGCTCCTCTACTGTGGGAAGATCTAAGAACAGAAAAAAGTTTAAAAAAGTTAAATTAGAAACTGAAAATTTTATGTAAATTGCTTAATCTACATACCTAATACCAACAAAATTATAACTTGCTTGTACTAAGTAAATTCCCTTTGATATTTATCAGATACAGTCATGTACTCCAAAATGACATTTCAGTTAATGATGGAATGCAGTGGTTCCGATTATAACGAAGGTGAAAAATCCCTAATATCTACTGACATCATAGCAGAATCTACAACTCACATGTTTGTGGTGATGCTCATGCAAACAAACCTAATGCACTACCAGTCATATAAGAGTATAACAAATACAATTATGCATAGCACTGGTATTGATAATAAATGACTATGTTACTGGTTCATTTATTTACTGTACTATAGATTTTATTGTTATTTTAGGTATGCACCTACTTATAAAAAAAGTTTACTATAGGGGCCGGCAGGTGGCATGGTAGTTAAAGGCACTGGGCTCCCACATGGCCGACCATGGTTCAAGTCCCAGACCTAGCGGCTTCCTTTCTCATTTTCCCTCTCTCCCTTGCTCTGTTCCTCTCTGGTCAAATTAAAATAAATAAATGGATAAAGTTAAGTAAAATAGTTCTCTCTAAAAAAAGTTTACTATAAAACAATATGCTACGTTATACCAGCAGCAGCTTCATCTATTTTGTATTTACTGTATCTCTTGATTGCATCACTTCCTTTATGTTTGATTTAAACTTGTTTTGTACATCATGGCTCTTCTAGTGGAACAGATGTGAAGGTGGAAGACAATGATACTGGCAATTCTTACCTCCAGTGAGCCAAAGCTATGTGTGTGTTTGTGTCTTAGTTTTGAAAAACAAAGAAAAAGCTTTAAGTAAAAAAGAAATAAAATTAAATTTAAAAATGTTTTAGAACAAGGCTATAAAGAAAAATGATTGGTGGGGGGCTGGATCTGAGGCAGAGTGGTAACATGCTGCTCAAGAGGCTAGATTCCATATGGTGACAGATGTTCAAATCCCTAGCCTGGTTAGTCTGAAACACACTGGACATAGGTGAGAATGCCTACCATCTAATGGAATTGAGGGCTGATGGACAGGGATCATGGCGTGACCAGATCCTAGAGTAGGGTAATGTTCTACGCCTTTTCATTCGTTCCCTGCTCACTGACTTACCTAGACCAATTTCTAGTCCTGTAAGCTCCATTAATGGTAAGTACCCTATTATTACTTTGCTTTTCTACATTTAGATCTGTTTAAATACACAAATACCATTGTGTAACTACTATCTTCAGTATTCAGTGTAATAACATGCTACATGGGTTCATAGCCTAGGCGAATAAGCTATACCATGTAGCCTAAGTGTGTAGAAGCTATATTATCTAGGTTTGTACAAATGCACATGATGGTTTCGGACAACAAAATCACCTAATGACAGATTTCTTAGAATGTAATCCCACTGTGAAACAATGCAAGTCTATATATCAAATATATATCAACCCATACACACTTGCTAAGTACGTATCTAGTTGACCCCAAAATACTGGTCTCTACCAAAAATGAAGAAAAACTTTAATATTAATGTATATGTGAAAGGTAAGACATCAACTTAAGTGATTTCTTAATTTGTTCAAGGTGTATTAGATGAGGAACTGAAACTGTATTCTGTTCTTTGCTCTAACTTAATCATTAAACCAATAATTCCTGTATTTCATTTAAGTGAATCTTTTAAGTTAGAAAAAAAAATTACCACAGCAAACTGTATTTAAATTATACTGTTCCGGAGACTGTTTAGGGAGGGTCTCAGCTAATTCAAAGATGTAACTATCCATCTTTACCTGACTCAGTGGTAGAAACGTTTCTTGAAGACTCTTCATTTTCCTGATGATCTTTTACAGAGCTCTTGGTATTTTCCATTGCATTATTCTCAATTCTTTGTCCATCTGCATCTCCCAGAGAATGGGCTATATGACAATAAGCCTGATGTAGGGCTTCAATGTCACTGTTGCTTTGTCCATAAGAGACACCTGTTGAGATGAATGTAATTCCTAGGTACAATTACACCACAGATACATGAGAACGATAAAACACTAACATTATTCCTTAGTCTGTGAGGAATGGTGAACAAGGTTGTAGGACAATAGCAACATTATGGAAAAAGAGTTAAATACAAACCTGGGTAATCTGTAGCTGTAGCTTACCAGCACGACATCACAGCGGGTCTCATACCTCTACTCAGCAAGTTGAGCTGTGTCCTGACAAGGTCACTGTAAAATTTGACTTCACTAGTTATTGCCCTTTTCCTACCATCCTTAATGAAGCCCTCTGCCTTTGATAAAACTATTCTCAAATTTCCCAAACTAACAGGTTCCTTTGAAGGTCTCTACCACACCCTTACCACTATCATTTTCTCTTTTACTCTGCTTTTCTGTAATAGCAAACATCTTAGAGTCTGCATTTTTTCAATTGCAATTCACTCCTATGTTTCAAGGAGTATGTTTTAAGATCCTGCTAAAACTGTATCCTCAAAAACAATTTCCTAATAGCCAAACCTATCCACCTTTAGTTCTCTTTAACATGAGAGATGTTTGCCATTGTCCTTTTCCTGCATCCCTTCTTCTCCTTGATAGTCCAACCACTTTGATGGCTATGTTGTCATCTTTCATGGTCTATGGGTCAGCTCAGGGCTTTATCTTTGGTCTTTACTTTTTTTTTTTTTTTTTGCCCTGGCTAAATTCATCAAGATCCTTAGCTTCAACTTAATCTTTGTTACCTGTATGCTCATGATTCCCCAATCTGTCATTTGCCCTTACTTCTTCTGAATATCAAACTCTTAATAGACACCTAGATTGCCCTGTAAGTAAAATGCATATAATGTATCCCCAACTGAGTTCATTGTATTTCCCCATCAAAACTTGTTTTTCTACCAGTATTTCCTATTTTAGCTAATGGATCACTACTTACTCAGTAACCCAAAATAGAAACCTTGATGTCATCCTTCACTCTTCCTTCCCTATTAACCTTCTCTTCTCACCAACTGACAAACAAATTCTAGAAAAAAGAATTCAAAGAAGCCAATGACAATAATGATCTTGGATTTGAGTATTTTTTTACTCATTTTTGTACTTTCATTAATAATTTTCAAAATCAGGAAAAAGAATGAGTCACAGAAAAGTATGAAAAAGGAAAAGTAACAGAGTGTCCAGTCTCCTCTGAAGGCCCACTGGTGATCAATTAATGCTTAAAAATAGAACAGTATTTTGGAACCAGCAGATGGTGTAATGGTTATGTCACTGGACACCCACGTAGTCAATCACAGTTTGAGTCCTGGACCCAGTGACTTAAAAACTCATGCCAGGTGCATGTGCATGTGTGCCCAAGATTCTGAGAGGAAAATGGAGTAGAAGGGACTGTGGTATGGACATCCGCCCTGGGGGATGATGTCTCGCTTTCTGTCTTTCTGTCTCTCCAACGAGAGCACATGTCCTATAGCCAAAATCTCTCTTAAAAACAAACAAACAAAAAACCCCCTAGTATTTCATCTTACAGCTTCATCTTCCTCTATATACAACATAAAATAATGTACAACTGTGAAGAGCTATTTCAACTCTTAACAAAAGAAGTCGCTGAATGCCACATATAAAATTGGGTAAGAATGGATTACAATGAGAAGTCTTTCTAGTTAGGTAGCCTACTATCTAGAGCATATTCAATAACAAATTTACTTAAGTAAACTAAAAACAAAAAGGAGGAGGATGGTGTCAGTGCAGAATTGCCCACAGTTGGTCCAGCCTATGAACTGGTGGTTCCATGAGCTGGATTCCACGGGGCCGGTTGTGTGGTCTGAGTCCCAGATTCAGTGGCACACTGGGTGCATGTATGGGTGCTCAAAATCCCAAAGAAGGGAGAAATGGAGCAGGAGGAATTGAGGATGTAACCATTCCCCATGGTGGATACTGTCTCGCTTTTCCTATCTCTCTGTCTTTATGGTAAGGAACACGCTCTCTGGCAAATTAAAAACAAAAACAAAAAACTGCCAGTAGTCAGGCAGCAAAGATTTTCTTGAAGGTCATGAGGAAAAAGGTCTTGCCTGCTAAGGTGAACCTAACTTAAGGGGAAAATTAATTTTTATGTAAAAAAGAAGCAAGGTGCTTTTTTGCCTCCATAAAAATACCAGGAAATGGGACCAGCAGTTAGTGTAATGACTATGTCGCTGGACTCCTATGTAGTCGACCGCGGTTCGACTGGTGGCTTAAACTCACACTGGGCGTGTGTGCGTGTGTGCCCAAGATCCTGAGAGGAGAATGGAGGAGAAGGGATTGCGGCGTGGCCATCCCCCCGGGGGGTGATTTCTCACGTTCTATCTCTCTGTCTCTCTCTGTCTTTCTGGTGAGCGCATGCGCCCTATAGCAAAAACCTCTCAAAAAAAAAAAATAAATAAAAAGGAAAAAGAAGAAAAAAATAAATACCAGGATATTTTAGCATTCGCTGAGTACATAGAGACAAAATAACTTCAATGGTAAATAGTATAACTGAATGTTCATTCTAACTTAGCAAGAGGTGTCAGAAAGAAAGGGTTCTAGGCTTGAAAGTAACAAGAGAGCACACATGCAGAAAACAAAAATCTTAAAGTTAGAAAGTAGAAATGGAGGATAAAGAGCTATTATAGGCTGCTCAAAAAACAGAGCAGGCAAGGATACTTTTTTTTCTTTTTTCTTTTTTTTTTTCCGGAGAGGTTTTTGCTATAAGGCGTGTGCACTCGTCAGACAGAGACAGAGAGACAGAAAGTGAGAAATCACCCCCCAGGGGGGATGGCCACGCCGCAATCCCTTCTCCTCCATTCTCCTCTTGGGATCTTGGGCACGCACGCACGCACACACGCCCGGCATGAGTTTAAGCCACCGAGTCTGGGACTCGAACTGTGGTCGACTATGTGGGAGTCCAGCGACATAGCCATTACACCAACTGCTGGTCCCAAGGATACTTTTTTTCTAACTTGAGTCTTTAACTAAGAAATTTTGAAAATCATTTTATAGTCGTGTAAGTTAACCTTATTCTGATTTTATCAAAAGAAAAGTGAAGGGCTTACTTTCCTGCCTTTTACATTAAAAAGAGAGAACTCCAAGTAGTTATCCTATATACGATTGCATGTAAAATGCTCCTTATTTTTCAACTTCAGAAAATTGAGAAGTGTCAAATCCTGTTCTGCAGAGGTAAAGGTTTAATTTTGTGGAACACTATTGTCATCCTGGTAAGCACCCCAGTCACGTAGCCATAGACAAAATGGCATTTGCGTATGAGACAGACAGAAATATGTAAATATGCTAGATCTGGCTTGGTGTTAGAAAAACCTCAGTTTTATATTTATTAACCTCTTTAGTACAATGAACCACAAATAATTTCATAAGTAATATTACTACCAAAAGATAACCTTTGATAATGTTACACCTAAACTTAACTTGCTTAATACCAGAAGAAACATGGCAAAACAAAACATTAAGAACTTTCAGTTCCTAAACCAAGTTCAAATGATGATTTGAAGACTTTTAAGTGTATTTTTGAAATACAAGGTAAATTCAATACCCTACAGACAATATTTTCTATACATCATGCCTTGAGATTCTTTATTATAGCTTGTACTTTAATATTTCCTTAATGCCAAAGGGTACATGCATGCATGTGAGAAACAAAGAAAAGAGAGAAAGAGAGAGAGAAGTTCTCCCCAATGGCACATTATCACGCCACAATCCCGGGCATGCACATGCGTGCCTGGCAAGTTTCCAAAGCTGCCAGGGCTGGAACACATACCATGGTTGGCCTTGTGAAATCCAGCTTCCTCTGTCAGCTCCAAATCTTGTACTATTGATTTAAATCATTACAATTATAGAATTGCTACTGCTTATTGAATTTTTTTTTTTGAGGAGATAAGAGAGAGAGAGACAGAGAGGGAAAAGAAAAATGGAGGAACACATTTTTGAGAGCCCTGCTGCCATGTCATGATGCTCATGCTCGAGCCCCGTTAGCTAGGAGCACAGGCATGCTCCATTGAGCCTGGCCTGTTCATTCTGTGGAAACCAACTTGGGCTTCTCATGAGGTTTTAGCCACCACCTTGTGACACGCTCCCACTTGTGCCACCATGGCTGGACTTACTCAATTTCTCAATGTACTGGGCAATTATTTCAGGTAACCACTGTAAGCCTCTTTTTAAATAAGAGGAAAAAAGCTTAGAGGCATTAAATGTCCAGTGTCACACAGCTGGTAACTGGCATGGCTAGAAAAATGAATCCTGATCTATATGATAATAAAGCTCATCCTCTACTATCTTCCAGTAATTGACTAATCAAATTGTTTTAGAGTCACTGATGTTTAAGAAATAAGACCAAAAGGACTACAGATTTATATAACTGCTTGGATTATCTTAATAAGATTTTTACTTTCAGCAATATATTATTTATAGCTAAGTTTTTTTTGTATAATTTAAAGCAATGGTTCTCATACTGTGCTTTAAAAAAAATCTAGTTTTTCAGAGAAAAATCTTAGGTTTCACAGATATTGGACTGAAATCCCTATTTAAATTATACCTTAAAAATTAAAAATTATGGGGCTGCCAGATAACTGAGGGGTTGTATCACTGAACTTCCACATGGCCAACTGCAGTTTAAGTCCTGGACCCAGTGGCTTGAAAATCACACTAGGTGTGTGTGTGTATGTGTGCCCATCCCCCCTGGCGGGTGATTTCTCCCTTCCCTCTCACTGTTTCTGTCTCTCTTTCTCTCCAGTAAGCACACACACCTTAAGGCAAATACCTCAAGGAAAAAAAAAAAACTTAAAAATCATAATAGAACCTGAAATGCTACTCAATGTGACATTGATGTAATTGTAATATTTTAAGACATATAACTGTAATAATTTTGGTAACTTTTGTCTTTTCATTTCCTTGTAGTTATGCACATCCTAAGATAGTTCTTGGCCATTGTGCATACATCTGAGTTTCCTATAACATACTGTTGATCTAAAAAGTTGTAGTTCTATACTGGCCTTTTAAAAGAATTCATGTCTGCTTTCAGTTTTACTAAAAACTGTGGAAGAGGTCAGGGTATCACAGTACAAATGACAAAGTTACTTGAATCAAGAGTTATAAGGCTGAGGGACAGCCATGCTCTTCACACATTTTTATTATGGTTAAATACTCAGTTGGGCAGCAAATGTCTCAATAAGAAAATTGTCATCATTTTTATTTTAAGAGAGAGATTTTTGCTATAGGGCGTATGTGCTTGCTGGACAGACAAACCCAGAGAGACAGAAAGTGAGAAATCACCCCTGGGGGGATGGCCATGCTACAATCCCTTTTCTTCCATTCTCCTCTCTTGAGCATGCACACACACATGCCCTGTGTGAGTTTCAAACAATCAGTCCGGGACTCAAACTGCGGTCGGCTACGTGGGAGTCCAGTGCTGTAACCATTATGCCATCTACTGGTCCCTAGTTGTAATTTTTAAACTTTCATATTTTTACTCTGAAATGAAAATATATGAAACAAGTGAAAATACCAATAATTCTTGGAAGGACAGTGACTAAAAATAAGCGATTTAACTAGACATTGTAGTTTGGGTCCTCTTTTTTTTTTTTTTTTTTTTTAAATCCGGTTGCTGATTATATGGGTATGTTCCATGTTTGAAATTTCATTAAGTTGCTGGGCTGACTCTGTAGTGCCATCATTAAGTGCTGGGCATAGGAAGCTGGGTCCCATATAGCTGACCATGATTTGAATTACGGCCCAAGCAGCTTGAAAAACATGCCAGGCACATGAGTGTGCGTGCCCCAAATCCTGACAAGATGGAGATGAAGGAAAAAGGAGTGTGGTAGACCATGATCCATGGGAGGGATGGGGCAGTGGGGAGTGTTCTCTCACTCTCTGCTCTGGATACATGCTCTACGGCAATTAAAAAACAAAAGAAAAAGAATCATTAAATTGCATTATTTATGATATATGGAGTTGTCTACAGTTATTTTACATGTCAATAAAAAGTAAAAAATAAAATAAAAAGATAAATAAAAACCAAATGAAGCTGATTTTTAGAGTTGGTTAGAGCTTTCTATTGTTCTTTTTGTCCAAGCATCTGAATCAGTTTAGTTGACTAATATCCTGGGACTGCAAAGCAAGCTTAATAAAAAGTTCCCACTTACAACTATTTATGTGGTAAGTCAAGAATATTCTTATACAACACATTAAAAATAAAATATATAAACACACTAAAGGCTGATAGTGACAGGAAGATGTAACAATCTCTGACTAAAAAATTTTCCAAAATCCATTATTCTCATTATTTTTATAGGGAAATGTCACAAATGCCAGCTTCTTTATTTATTCTGGTGAAGTACCATTTTACCTATATACAAAGTTCTACGTAAGATTTAAATTTGGGATAAGGGGTCTACTGCTTTAATAAAGTTTGAAAAGGCATTGTGTCAAAGACACATACAAACTTTAGGAAAGTCTAGTTGATCCCAGACATTTCAGTATTTTGGAATTTGACTCACCTCTTTCCTACAGAGAAAGAAATATGCAAAAGCACAGTAAGACCAAAGGCCCATTTCCCCTACACACGTCAAATTTAACAGAATACTCAGGAGGGGCTCAGGAAACTAGATAATACTCACCTACACTGCTATACTTTGTATCAACAGCATTCATTCATTAATAAGCAGTCATCTGAAATCACACTTACTGGCCTACTCACATTAAGTGGCATTATAAGTAAACTCTGATGATTTAAACTGCTAAATATGATAGAAAAATGAAGGGATTAAAGGTCTTATTATCCATATGGTTACTATCTAGATTTCCCTAGGAATTAGGTCACTTATTTCAAAGCATTCTGTATCTACAGAATGGGCAGTTTTTCAAACACCTTTACCTGTTTCTATCATTTCACTATCAGCCATTTCAGGTAGGGCCTTTGGTTTTGTTGTTGCTTTATCTTGTTCATCAAGGTTGACCTCTGCAACAGACTCTAATGAATCAAGCAGCACAACTGGAAAAATATGAAAGAAAAATATATATAAGGAATGTAGAGAAATTTCTGTGGTCCCTGTGAGCTAATAAAATGATTTACTCATATGTAATCATTATCAAATATAAATGTTTACATATATAAATAGCAACGTAGTCTTTTTTCTTTTTTGGAGAGGTTTTCACTATAGGGCGCGTACGCTTGCCAGACAGACAGAGAGAGAAAGAGGACAGAAAGCGAGAAATCCCCCCCCTAGGGGGGATGGCCACGCCACAATCCCTTCTCCTCCATTCTCCTCTCAGGATCTTGGGCACGCACACACATGCGCCCGGTGTGAGTTTAAGCCACTGGGTCAAAGACTCAAACCGCGGTCGACTACGTGGGAGTCCAGTGACATAGCCATTACGCTAACTGCTGGTCCCAATGGCAACGTAGACATAGACACGCACACACACACACACACACACACACACACAGAGAAAACAAGCATAATTTTCTTCCGGTGTATGAGAAAGCAGGGAAACATCAACATACACACCCCTGCTTGTATACAGGTCTAATGTACGTTTATAATGTGGAAGACAGAGGGCCTGAGGAAAATAACTAATATAATAGGATGGATTCAAGATGGGCCTATTAGGAAAAGCTATAAACTAATTTCTTAGAAATATTTAAACACAAAGATAAATCATGATTTATTCAGAATTATTTAGATGAAATTGTAAAGTCTACTTTTTACCCAACTGAAATATGTAAACATACAGAATAGTTACCATTAGCTAGCATGCCAGTTTTCTCTTCTTCCTAAATTAAAAGAGGAAAGTGATTACGTTTGGACACCAAAAATTACATAAATTGGTCACATGTAAACAGTAACAGCTTTTGAAAACCAGTGCTTTAGTCCACGATAAAAAGTCAGGAACCGTAATTTCCAGGTTTTCTCCACCACTTCCATTCATCAATAATTCTTCAAGACTAGAGAGACTATAGCTCTGAGAGAACTTCTAAATGTTCTAAATTAACTTAGACATTAATAAGTCTTCCTTAAAGCATCTAGTAACATCTGCTTGTCTACCTTTGCTCAAAAGGTTCCTGTTCTGAACTGCAACACAATGGAGCTAATTTACACACAAGTCAAGCAATTGTAACATTCCTGATCAATTTTCTTTTAATGTTTAAAATTCATGGCCAAAAATACTTTATACTCATTGTTTCATTTACATTTCCAAAGGTATAATTTTCAGGAAGGCAGACCATCAAGTAAATGGCAAGGTAGATAAAGTACTTCAACACTTTAGGGTCCCTGAGAACCATATCATAGTCTATAGGCTCATCCAATAACAGAGCTTTAATCCCTTACCATTTTGATTCTGACCCATATAGATCTCTATGAGGTTTCTACATTTAGTTTGATGCATTTTTAAACATTTTCTGCTTGTTTTGGGGACAAGCAGATGGCATAGTGAGTTACATTGTTGGACTTCTACATTGCTGACCAGTTTCAGTCCTGGACCTAGTAGCTTGAAAATCAGGCAAGGCCCATGTGTGTGCATGCCCAAAGTCCCAGGAGGTGAATGGAGGAGAAGGAACTGTGGTGTGGCCACCCTCCTGGGAGGTGATTTCCCATTTTCCCTCTCGCTGTCTGTCTTTTTCTCTCTGGTGAGTACATGTATCCTATGGCAAAAACCAACCAAACAAACAAAAAACTAAAAAAAATAGTATTGAAATTTTAACTATATTTTCAATTTCCAAGGCTTAACTTAAGGAAATTATTTGGCAAAAGAAATTCCTTATAAAGTCGTCAACTGTCCTGATTTTTCATTAAGATTTCTATAAAGGCAACATCCCAAGTTTAAAAAAAAAAAATTAACTGAGTGTCAAGATACCTTAAAGTTTACAATGACAAGACTATGAAGAACTCCTATTCTGCGCTCCTCCTATGACAACTGTCAACCAAGTAGATGAAAGAAGTTGCAAAACTGTCAAATATATAATTAATTGATGTATACCTGTTTGGGTACATTTATTTTTTCTGGTTTGGAATTTTCTTTGGAATGAATCTCTTCGTCTTTAGTAGTTAAATGTACATCAACATCTTCCTCATCTTCAAAGTCATCACTGTAATTTTCTGAAGAAAATAATATTGAAAGTACAAGGATCACTCTGTCAAAGTCAGATTCTAGGAAAAGATTGTTATTTCCAAAAGAAGTCTGCATAAGAATAATTTATTGAAATATAAAATCAAGATATCTTTAAAGAACATTTTTTTTTTTAATGGCAAGGATTTAATGAGAGTTCAACTTGTAAGACTATCTTAGGTTCATTTGGTTGATTTTTTTTTTGTATTTTGAAATAATTTTAGGAGTTTCAAACACAGGTGTATTAATTTCTTTCATGAGAGAGAAAAAGAGGGAAAGCAAGAGAAAGACAGGAACCCTTGACAAGGTTTTAGCACATGGCGATCTCCCCCAACTCTCTAGCCAGCCGGGTGATGAGTACACCTGCAGTGTGTCCTGCACGCTCAGGTGAACCTGGGACCTGAACCCTGGGTCTTCCCATATGGCTCCAGCATCAAACAGTGGCACCCTATGGTCTGTGTGATCAAAGCTAGGCTTGAGTTTAATGCTTTTCATCTTTTCTATTATTAGCCAACTAAAAATTTCTAGAACTGTCCAAAAGACCTTAAATCACCTTTAATTTTTAATATTTAGGTTGTTTTAAATGACAAAAATCTCTAATTTCTTACTTATACAATGCAGCACTTTTGTAAAATCTTGACACTCTTGAAAAGGTTGAGTTTTGCTTTTCATTATTTTTTTCTGTCTGTGCAGGCAACTATACTGTAAGGCTTCTACAGTACTTACAAAAGACCTCTTTCTAACCCTTCCTTCAGATAAATACTGGTCCTAAATGACCTCTGCTATTTCTCAATCCTGGGCACTGAAACCAAGACCCCATTTGGGGTGTTGTCTCTCTCTCTTTCTCTATCATAAAAGAAACAAACTTTATGGTGGCCAGCAGGTGGCATAGAGGCTAAGATTATGGACTCCCACAATACTGACTGTGGTTCAGGTCCTAGACCAGGCAGCTTGAAACTCATGCTGGTCACTGTGTGTGTGTGTGTGTGTGTGTGTGTGTGTGTGTGTGTGCCCAAAATCCTGAGAAGAGAATGGAGGAGAAGGGATTGTGGTATGGCTATCCTCCCTGGGGGATGATTTCTTGCTTTCTGTCTCTCTGTCTCTCCTGCAAGCGCACACTCCCTACAGCAAAAATCTCTCTTCAAACCAAACCAAACCAAACTGAAAACATGACCTGTCCTACTTTCAGCTATAGAACCAATGGCAAGTCACAAACACTCCTCACCTCATGTTGTTAAGAAGATTAAGAGTTAAAGTGTTTAAGAGAGTTGGGGTAGGGGGTTGGCAGGAAGACAAAAGACGAAAAAAGGTCTACCTCTGTACCATTATAATTTGGAAGACTTTGTCCTGGCTTTACAGATTCCCACAGTTCTGGTACAGAAAATTTTTTCTCTGCCTTCCTAATTTGTCTACTGAACACACAACAAATGAAGCAGTGGTTTACTTTTTATAATTTTTTAGTAGTTCAGATTTCAACACTAACAACCCAACTCTACCTGCTCAAAGCTCTTAGCAAAGCTATGAGATTTTCTTTTTGTTTTTCTCCTGTCAATGTCTGTATTAAAAGCATTATTATCTTTTCAAATATCAGACATTTTCAAATCAATGAAATTACCTGCCAGTTGTTCATGTTTTGATTCATTCTCATGCTCATCTTCAGTCAGTTCTATATTGGCTTCATTACTGGAAAAAAATATTTAGTTTAGTATTATATACTAGTATATTTTCATTTGATACTTTGTGCATATTTAAGAAAAAACCTCTTAAATTATATATTTCTTCTATACTACTCTTGTTCAATCAAAAGCTAAACATTAGGGGGACCAGCAGATGGCATACTGCTTGTGTCACTGGACTTTCACGTAGTTGACCGTAGTTCGAGTCTTGGACCTGGCAGCTTAAAACTATAGAAGGCACACGCACATGCATGCCCAAAATCCCGAGAGGAGAATGGAGAAAGGACTGCAGCGTGGCTATCCTCTCTGGGGAGTGATTTATTGCTTTCTGTCTCTGTCTGGTGAGCACACATGCCCTATAGCAAAAAAAATCTCTCTTAAAAAAAAAAGCTAAACATTAGGGAGCTACAAAGAAAATATTTTGAAAAACAAGGATCTTCAAAGACTAATTAAAGTTGCAGAAGTAACACAAAAGCAAAAAATGTTGAGGGTAGGCTCCACACATTGAGCTCTCCTCCCTCTTTCTTCACCTCATCACCTTGACACACGTCTGCTTGTCCGGCTAGGCCTCAGGAATATCATGTAAGCATTCCCTTACCTCATGAACTCAGCTTGTGGCTGGGGCTGTTCTGGAGGCACGCACCCCTCTTCTACTTCAACATGCCCAGCTCAGAGGCACTAGATTATTGTACAAGCTCTAGCAGCTTCTCTAATCAATAAGCTGACCATTGTCATCCTCAAACAGTGTCTGTAGGATCCCTGCTGTGGAGTAGGGAGTTTGTGCTGACCTCACAGGTGATGTACAGCCCCTGATCTTAACAAATGTGAGCCTATATTCATGGCAGCATGGACCTTCTCTGCCCGGCTGTCAGGGGACCACTCCTATCTTACATAAGTGAATTCATGTCTTCCCCGCTGGATCTCCGGGTATGTTTTCTGGAACTAATAAACATTACAGGCAAGTCCTCTCAGTTTTGGGGCTTCCCCCATACAAATGCCATATTTCTTAAGTTTATGTATAAATATAAATAATTTTATACATAAATATGTAAATTTACATAATACAACCCAGATATTCCCTCTATACTGAAGATTAGAATGGACTAAAAGCTATGAGAACCAGTAAAGTCTATGTGGGGGCTAGAAAAAAAGTCAAGATCAGCATTTACATGCAAATAAGCAATCTGATCCTGAAATGGAAACTGAATAGTCCCTTAAGCTAAGAAAAACTCAACAAGGGGACAAAGGAGCTTGGAAATATTTTATTAGGTCATTGGGAAAGTCATGACATGTGTTTCTATGCAAAAATGCATCATGATGACCCAATACTAATTTATGTACTTTCTTTCTTGCTAGCTTGCTTTATTTTTGTAGAATTATTTTATTTAATATTTATTTATTTATTTATTTATAACTGAACCAGAGAGGGACAGAGAGAGAGAGAAAGCAAGCCACCAGGTCTGGGACTTGAACCGCAGTCGGCCAGGTGGGAGTCCAGCATCTTTAACCACCAAGCCACCTGTAGACCCCAATGTACTTCTTTCTTTGAGACCAAAGAATCGGTTCTACCTTTTTCAGTTGATCAACCCTATTGGGAAATGAACAGACCCATGAAACTGCATGACTATAATAATAGTAATAATGAGCTGACAGAAAAGTCACGATGCATTTTTTTGCATAGAAAAACAGAAAAAATAAGTCATGATTTTTCCAACAACCCAACAGCAAACACCGAATATTGCATCCTCAATGCTATGCTGCACTCTAGCCAGCCTTTTCTAGAACAGAAATACCAATAGTTAAAAACACTGTTAAGAAATAAGAAAATGTAAGAAATATACAAAGGAGCAACAATTTGCGGTCAACAAACCTGTGCACGCTGATCTGTGCTGTCATGGTCGGGAGAGGTGACTGCCATGGCCCTGAATGTTCCTGTACATTTTTACTGGGTATGCCAAAAAGGCAAGGCTCTATTTTTTACCAAGCCATTTCTTGGGGTTGTGTTTGCAGTGAGCAATCTTGAGCGATGAGGTACTATTTCTGCCCAAGTGCAAGCTTCTCTCTGCTTAGAAAAGCAGTAGCTTTCTCAAGCTCAGTGTTCCTCTCCTGTAACAGTTCTCTGCTAGTTGCAGACATCTATCTTGAATCCTCTGCCTTGTCCCTGTGGGACTCATGGGGCATGGGGAACCAATGCTAATGAACATGACTCTAGGGGTACTCCTTGTGTTGTGTGAGAAGTAAGGTTCTTTATTTTTGACCCAGGAATCTCATGTCTCTTGTCAACATTCATGAAACTGGAAGGCTAACTTGCAAGCTCGTAAGTACAGTAAAAATCACACCCTGTACAGTTCGCATCAGTAAATGGATTGCTTTCCCTCCTGTCTAGAAGAAACAATCATCTTGAGGAGACTAGTAACTCCAGTAACCAGAGGTCATGACCCTTAACTTAATTAAACTTTTGGATTTCAAAATCCTAAATAAAATTGTAATCTGCTTTCCAGATTTTAAAAATTACAAATTTAAATTGCAAATGAAAATTACATGGGTAACTAAACTAAGGAGATCAAAGATCTCAGGTTTTGCAAAGGCCTTGAGAACAGTGATGGTCTATGGTAATTATGAGAAGACCAGCTCAGTCAACTGGCAGGATTCCTAGCATAGAAGAGGTTTTCTGTCAACACACATCAAAGCAGAACAAAGACCAAACTTGTCTTTGCTCCCTGGTTCCCACTTTCCTTTCTGTTCCTTTTTTTTCCCCTGAGTTGATAACAGTAATCTGGCCTTTCTTATTTACTTATAATTAATAAAAAAGACTGTTCTTGTTTTAAGAGATAATTGAAAACACTGCCTCCAAATATCTGAAGTTAATTTTTGCAAAAATCTTGAATATAATCAGAGTAATTAATAAGTTATCAACTCGTATCCCTCACATTTCTTATCATTTGTTCCTAATCTGCTTAGACGTTCCACTGTCTGACATACAAATCAATATATTCTCTTAATCAGTAAAAAAACTCTGACTATAATAATGAACAGAGATTGCAGTTTAAAAATAAGACTTAATTTTGCCTGTTATATTTACTTACTTAAGTCTATGCACATATCATCCTTCTAAAAATATAGAAAAACACAAAAATCATTTAGTAGTTGATGTTGTATTAACTTTACCTGTGTAATGCTTTAAAATGTGCAGAGTCATGAGAATCCAGTTCCTTATTTAATCTTGAATAATCGATGGAAGATGTCAAGCCCTTCTCAAGCCTGGCAAAAAATTGCTCTTTCTCTTCTTGTTCTTCTAGTGTGTCCAATCCCAATCCAACAATACTATGATTAAGCTCAGAGACTATTTGTTCTAAACGAAAAGTACAAATACATTGTATTAGTATAAAGAATTCTGATAAAAGTAATTTTATTGATGCTTTCTGATATTATATAGTAAATTAAAATAACTTTAAATACTTAATATCTTACCCACAAAATTCAGATTCAAAATCAGTAACATACAGCTAAACCTTCTCTAGGGTTGTAAATCTTTTTTTTTTTTTTTTTTTAATAGGGGTGTGTGCACTCACCAGAGAGAGACAGAAAGGAAAAGTGAGAAATTACCCCTTGGGGGATGACCATGATCCCTCCTCTCCTCCATTCTCTTGAGATTTTGGGGCATGCACACACATGGACCTGGCATGATTTTCAAGCTGCTGGATCTGGGACTCAAACCATGGTTGACCATCTAGTGCCTAACCACCACACCACTTGCTGGCCCCTAGAGTTGTAATTCTAAACATCTAGGAAGACAGAAAATCTATCTACATGCTTCAGTCAAAAAAGGTCCAAGATAGCCAAGTTAATTTTTGTAAAATTTCTGAATATAAGCATTAATAATTTAAATAATTAATATATTAGATTATTAATAATTTATTAACTCATATCCCTCACATTTCTTACCATTTGTTTCTAAGCTGTCAATACTTAAGATAGAGGTTCCACTGCTCTTAAGTAATTGAATCTTTTCAGCTGCATCATCTTCTATTTCCATAACAGGCTGAGAAGTCTTCTTTGTTTTCAAATAACTTACATTTGTGCCAGGCCTTCCTAGGAACAGGATTTAATATAGCTGGATATTTAGGTTTAGAGAATTGTTTTGACTACTATGATAACATAATAATACCTTTACACTAATTTTGTGCATAGTTACTATAAAATAAAGCTGCTTTATTAGCTTAAAAAAACCATCACCTAAAATTCAAAAAAATTTTAATTCCATTTTATTTCAGTACTTCTTATTAAACAGAGTATTTCAAAAATTTGCATAACAAAACAAGATTTTTGGAAATTACTTTGAAACACAAGTATTTCAGTATTCCACACCACTTTAAAGAAGACCTACTTTCCTGCTTTCTTCAACCTGCTCTTTAGTTTCGTTTCCTTAGAGTGTTTTTACTACTTGACTTTTTAGTGCCCTTTTTTTTTTTTTTTTTTGAGAGGTTTTTGCTATAGGGCACGTGTGCTCACCAGAAAGACAGAGAGAGACAGGGAGACAGAAAGCGAGAAATCACCTCCCAAGGGGAATGGCCACACCACAATCCCTTCTCCTCCTTTCTCCTCTCGGGATCTGCGTGCGTGCCCAGTGTGAGATTAAGCCACCGAGTCCAATACTCGAACCACAGTCCAGTACATGTGACATAGCCATTACGCTAACTGCTGGTCCCTCTGCTTGACTCTTAACACTGTTGGAAACAGACTATGAATGCCATGAACCAGTATAATAAAACACAATGAGGAAGTAAGGAAAATAACAGGGGCTAGACAAGATCAATTAAGGACAGTAACAGGGGCCAAACAAGACCCTATCTGTATACACATCATTTTAAGAAAATAGAAGCATCGAAAGACCTTTCAAAGTCACTATTTCTTTTTTTTTTTTTTAAGAATTATTTTATTTATTTATTTATCTATTTATTTTAACTTGACCAGAGAGATAAACATAGAGAGAAAGTGAGAAAGCAAGTCACCAGGTCCAGGACTTGAACTGTGGTTGGCCATGTGGGAGTGTCCCAGCGCCTTAACCACCATGCAACCTGCTGGTCCCTCAAAGTCATTATTTCTAAACCACTGGAAATAGTGGCTCCATGAAGAAGAGATTCTCACAGTAGGATATGCATGAATTGTTAGGGCAGTGGGATCATTCATTATCTCTCACAGCATTTCGAATTTGAAATTTTCTCTCAAGTTTAATTCATATTAAACATTATAAGTGTCTTATAACTAATGAGATATTAGATGGTATTAAGGGATTATTGATACTTCTTGGACAACAGTATGGTTATATTTTTAAATGAAAGTTCTTTTTTGGAGAAACTTTGAAATATCTGTAGATAGCAGTGATATGCTTTGGGAGATTCCTTTCACATTCCAGTGTGGGGAGAAATGGAGGAGAGTAAGAGGGGATATAGTAAGGAAGGATGTCTGAGGAGCTGAGGAGACAAGTGGAAAGCCTCAAAGCCAGGAGATTGCCAGGTGTGTAGAGAGTTTCGAGGCCGGTGTATTTACACTGGCATAAGCATGGGAAAGGTACTGAGAAGTCAGGGAGAAGGCAGCAGCTTTTAGGACGAGTGACATGAGAAGCTACTAGAGGCAGAGGTGGTTATGATATGTGGATGAAAAGATTTTTGGTATAAAGCTCCAGGAACTCAGAAGTCAAGTTGTTAGAGGAATTAGTTATATGGTTAATAAAGTCACATCACCAAGAATGAGA